TATAAACGTCAAATTCATGTAATTTTAACATGTGCTTACTTCTTTGTGAGAAACATTTATAGGGGGATAAAAGAGGAATATTTGGGATGTTTGTAATTGATGTGGAAATAACAATGTTGTTGCCATTTTCATAAGAACAAATAAGGGTTATCCTTGTGTAATACGTATAGGGTTCCGTACCACCGAGTTAGCAATACGCCCCCGAACTCGTGCAGTATCTTGCTCTAAACATCAATACGGTGTGCATTCCAGATTTTATCAGTTTGATGGACTTTCTTCACGCAGCCTCTCGTTGTCGAGTCAACTCAGTTTCACACTTTTTATTCAACTAATATACTGTATGAGATATATTTCTCCATTAAATTTCCTTTATTATTTCTGCATGCGCAATTTTATCAAACCGGGTTAAGTTTTATTATATATTGTAATCGCAAGGTTTTCGTCTTTCGATTTACCATTTTACCTACCTGTCTGATAGGGACAATTTTTCTTTTTCTTTTGAGTAGTGGCATAGTTCATAACATACCCATTTTTAGTGCTCTAACTAATTAAGCATTGCACTGCTTTCAGTTGGCATTCTTATTGCCTTTGAATGCCAACTGAATGCAGACTGACATCTAACACAAGTCTCGGAAGTATAGTGTCGATGTAGAAAAATGACGTAAGACACTTGATTTCCGGTGCTTTACCGTCGGTGCAGACTGACGTCTAACACAAGTCTCGGTAGTATAGTGTCGGTGGAGACAGACGACGTCAGACACTAGATTTCCGGTGCTTTAACGTCGGTGCAGACTGTCATCTAATACAAATCTGGTTAGTATAGTGTCGATGTAGACAGATGACGTCAGACACTAGATTTCCGGTGCTTTACTGTCGGTGCAGACTGACGTCTAACACAAGTCTCTGTAGTAATGTGTCGATGTAGACAAATGACGTCAGACACTAGATTTCTGGTGCTTTACCGTCGTTGCTGACTGACGTCGAACACAAGTCTCGGTAGTATAGTGTCGGTGTAGACAAATGACGTCAGACACTAGATTTCCGGTGCTTTACCGTCGGTGCTGACTGACGTCTTACACAAGTCTAGGCAGTATAGTGTCGGTGTAGGCAGATGACGTCAGACACTAGATTTCCGGTGCTTTACCGTCGGTGCAGACTGACGTCTAACACAAATCTCGGTAGTATAGTGTCGATGTAGACAGATGACGTCAGACACTAGATTTCCGGTGCTTTACAGTCGGTGCAGACTGACGTCTAACTCAGGTCTCGGTAGTATAGTGTCGGTGTAGACATATGACGTCAGACACTGGATTTCCGGTGCTTTACCGTCGGTGCAGACTGACGTCTAACACAAATCTCGGTAGTATTGTGTCGATGTAGACAAATGACGTCAGACACTAGATTTCTGGTGCTTTACCGTCGTTGCTGACTGACGTCTAACACAAGTCTCGGTAGTATAGTGTCGATGTACACAAATTACGTCAGACACTGGATTTCCGGTGCTTTACCGTCGGTGCAGACTGACGTCTAACACAAGTCTCGGTAGTATTGTGTCGATGTAGACAAATGACGTCAGACACTAGATTTCTGGTGCTTTACCGTCGTTGCTGACTGACGTCTAACACAAGTCTCGGTAGTATAGTGTCGATGTACACAAATGACGTCAGACACTAGATTTCCGGTGCTTTACCGTCGGTGCAGACTGACGTCTAACACAAGTCTCGGTAGTATAGTGTCGATGTAGACAAATGACGTCAGACACTAGATTTCTGGTGCTTTACCGTCGTTGCAGACTGACGTCTAACGCAAGTCTCGGTAGTATTGTGTCGATGTAGACAAATGACGTCAGACACTAGATTTCCGGTGCTTTACCGTCGTTGCTGACTGACGTCTAACACAAGTCTCGGTAGTATAGTGTCGATGTACACAAATTACGTCAGACACTGGATTTCCGGTGCTTTACCGTCGGTGCAGACTGACGTCTAACACAAGTCTCGGTAGTATTGTGTCGATGTAGACAGATGACGTCAGACACTAGATTTCCGGTGCTTTACCGTCGGTGCTGACTGACGTCTTACACAAGTCTAGGCAGTATAGTGTCGGTGTAGGCAGATGACGTCAGACACTAGATTTCCGGTGCTTTACCGTCGTTGCTGACTGACGTCGAACACAAGTCTCGGTAGTATAGTGTCGGTGTAGACAAATGACGTCAGACACTAGATTTCCGGTGCTTTACCGTCGTTGCTGACTGAAGTCTTACACAAGTCTAGGTAGTATAGTGTCGGTGTAGACAGATGACGTCAGACACTAGATTTCCGGTGCTTTACCGTCGTTGCTGATTGACGTCTTACACAAGTCTCTGTAGTATAGTGTCGGTGTAGACAGATGACGTAAGACACTAGATTTCCGGTGCTTTACCGTCGGTGCAGACTCACGTCTGTTACAAGTTTCGGTTATTTAGTATAGTGTCGGTGTAGACAGATGACGTAAGATACTAGATTTCCGGTGCGTTATCGTCGGTGCAGACTGACGTCTAACACAAGTCTCGGTAGTAATGTGTCGATGTAGACAAATGACATCAGACACTAAATTTCCGGTGCTTTACCGTCAGTGCAGACTGACGTCTAACACAAGTCTCGGTAGTATAGTGTCGGTGTAGACAGATGACTTAAGATACTAGATTTCCGGTGCGTTATCGTCGTTGCTGACTGACGTCTAACACAAATCTCGGTAGTATAGTGTCGGTGTAGACAAATGACGTCAGACACTAGATTTTCGGTGCTTTACCGTCGTTGCTGACTGACGTCTAACACAAGTCTCGGTAGTATAGTGTCGGTGTAGACAGATGACTTAAGATACTAGATTTCCGGTGCGTTATCGTCGTTGCTGACTGACGTCTAACACAAATCTCGGTAGTATAGTGTCGGTGTAGACAAATGACGTCAGACACTAGATTTTCGGTGCTTTACCGTCGTTGCTGACTGACGTCTAACACAAGTCTCGGTAGTATAGTGTCGGTGTAGACAGATGACGTAAGATACTAGATTTCCGGTGCGTTATCGTCGTTGCTGACTGACGTCTAACACAAATCTCGGTAGTATAGTGTCGGTGTAGACAGATGACGTCAAACACTAGATTTCCGGTGCTTTACCGTCGGTGCAGACTGACATCTATTACAAGTTTCGGTTATTTAGTATAGTGTCGGTGTAGACAGATGACGTAAGATACTAGATTTCCGGTGCTTTATTGTCCGTGATGACTGTCTTCTTTCGACTCTCTTTTGCATCAGGTGAAAAAAAAACCAACAAACATTTGTGCTATCGACACTGTTAAGAAATATCTAAATACGTGCAAGATCATTTAATATGTGACAAGGGAGCTTACTGTGATGGCATTCTATCCGTATTCAAATTTTGACTAATTGATCAATCATATTTATTGATAATTCCATTATACTTTTTTGTTATTTGTTTCTCATATTTTCATTTTCATACATTTTTTTTTATATATATGCATTGAATTAATTGGAACAATTTCTACTTGTTAAATATCATATTCTGTTCTATTATTATAAAATCAATGCATGAAAGTTTAGGAATGGCGCCTATTGTATATAAACGTTCTAGTGACTGTCAACAGATAAAATGTTTCTGATAAGAGAAAATCATAAAATATGACAGTGGTGACGTCAACACGGGTCTAAAAGCATTGTACTTCGTTCAAATTAGGTAATACATCGATCTAATTAAGGGGGCTACATTTGGACCAGACACGCACATCATGTACCCCTGAGTAACATGCACAGGGATATCTGACAAAAGCCGGAGGAGTTTGCTGGGACCCAAGGGATGATGTCTACAAACGATGATAAAATTTACATGACCATTAACTTTTTATCCAATAAAGACAACCAATAGAAACAACTTGCATCGTCGACATCAGTCCAGACATCCCTAGATTCATGCAAAACGTTCACGTGATGAGAACAAATGTAAACAACATACACGATGAAGTTCAAATAGTTCTGCCAGTCATGTATCAAGGTCGAACAGAATATACGGAATATTAAAGAAAATCACATGATATTTCATCATAACAATACAATGGATTTACAGGTCGGATGACACGCGTGATGGTCATAATAATCTTCCGGATCTCCAGACCTTGCTGCCATAAAATCATACTCTAGCTCAAACTAAGACACTGTGTTCAAGCTCAAACCCAACATTTCAGTTCAAGAAATTCCAATTTGACTTTTTTCCCGTGAATTATTCGTGTCTTCTAGCTTTACCATTCAAATGCTTATGGTGTGTGTTTTGAAAGCATTGCAAGATATCTGTGAGTTTTGTTTGAACACAAGACTTAAAAGTAAGTAAGACAACGGTCCGATTAATCGGGGACCTCGCCTTGCCTCCCGTTCTCGGCGAAGGTTCATGGCTTATCTCCGTTTGGGTGTCATGGTTGTTCTTGTTACCGTCTTTGCGTGTTTGGTATCGTTCCGTTTGAGTCTGAATGTGTTGATGTTGTGAAGAGATTTTGTTTTTCTGTTTCAACTTTCTTTCAAATTTAAATGTATGAATAATAAATGTCATTGCATTTTTATATTGTGAATACGGATTTCTGATTGAAATGCATGAAGGCAGCGAAATGTGGTTGTGCCCTTATGGTCCATGTCGGATATTTCGGTTTCTGCTGTAATATTCAAGTGGTATCGGGCCATCAATGAACCGTTTGAAATACGGACCCACAACAAGTCAAACACAGTACACATGCACATATCTATAGCTATTTACCTTAGTATGGCGGTTCTCCAGATGTAGGAATAACAGAACCAGTAAAGTAAAGCTAGAGCAATACCTAAACAAATTTATAATAATATAAAATAATATAAGGTCCAGTGAATAATGTAGATTGCTTTGTAGATACAAAATAATCTCATCCATCTACAGGTCAATTGAACATTTATTAATAACAAAAACAACAAAAAAACAAATCGTTTTTCAATGTAGTTTATTATAAAAATGAATCAGTATTTTAAAGTTATTACATACTTTATTTGGAAATAAAATCATTTACATGGTTGCTTTGATAGAACATTCATCACGATTAGAAATAAAAGATAAAATGATATTGCTATTTAGGAAGTCTAAAGAGGATTATAATAGATACACATTTATGTTAATGTCAGATATTGTACCTTTTCCTTACCATAATGCGTTTTAACTCTAACTATTGATATTTCTGTTGAATTATTGAGGGATGTACGAGTCTCCTTTTTTTCTTTGCTGTTTAATATGAAACCTTAGAATACTGATATATTACAACGAGTATATGTGCTGTGTTCCCAAGCACAGTAACAATGTCACTATCAAGTATTAAGTATATACATAACGTGCAGTGTTACACATTTCTCAACATGAAACATAACTTCTAACAAAGGCAACGGCTAAATGTATCACAGATAAGCTCTATAAGAATAAGTTAGAAAACCATATATTATGTTATATGACATATTCATTTGTCTGAAATTGTGAGGGAATAAAAATATGCATACAAGCATGCTGGGTATCGTTATATTACTTCCAATCACACTTTATGTTATTGATGGGAACCTGCATCATGGTTAAGCTTGAACATTTCACAGACTAATCAACAATTAAGATTATTGTAAACGATAACACGGTAATATGCATTCTAATAAAAGTAATATAAAGGTACTGGTAAATGACAGTATCCCAGGATAAAGGCGCATTGTGTGAAGAGTCGACTTATGGTTATGCCCTATGGAGAAAAAAAAAAAAGTATGCTCGAAAGTGCAGATATATTTTAAAAACCCATACTATTTACTATGACCTTTCAGAACGAATCTTAAGCAGTAATCAAACTCCACTAAATAAATAATCAGGTATAATTGCCTCCCCTGCTTTAAAAGGTTAACTATTTGTATACAATGCATATTAGGAATGACAATGAAGAGCTGATTTATTCGTTAACACGGTACATGGTGCTTACCATTTGTATAATAATAATAATAATAATAAGGTCAACATGCCTAGATATCTGCCCATCCTAACCGCACTAAGGTTGAACAGAATTTGTAAACATGTATTTAATCATAAAATATGCATACCCTAGAGCTAAATAAGCCACACTGTGTGTGTTAATAAAGCACTATATGGTATAAGTTAGTGACCTAAAATGTAAGGAGGAGTTTTCTTCTCAGGCAAACAAATATAACTTATATATTTAACGGATAAAATATACATTGTATACCAAACCCGTTATTTAACGCAAATAATCTGTGATTAGTTTTATATTTTTTTTTTATAAATACTGTATTAATGCATACAATAACGAAAAAAATCTATGTATAAATACATGCGTTTTCCTTTAAGTTTACCCCGTAATTATGTAACATAATGTTAGATTCACTTTCGCAGTTTTGTATATCTCTATAATGGTTTGGACGGATTTCTGTTGATAAATATAAACAAATTACATATAATATCGATTGTCTATGTAAATCCTATACATCGATGAAGGTCCCGAGAAAATTGTCGTATGATATTCGACCTGTCAAGTTGCAGTCGAATTCCGACATCAAATGATAGAAATCTTCGTTGGAAACCTCCACGTTACACGATTTGAGCGCTCGCCGGAAGTCTCCGACTGAAAGGTACCCGTTCCTGCTGATGTCTAGTTTCTTAAATGCGCGTCGTAGATTGCTGTTTTCTGCCATCAGCTAATAAGGATGAATAAAAAGACCATTCAACATCTGCATTCATATTTTCGACATCAGAATAAATATATAAAACCCACTTTTAAGGAAAATATTTAAAGACATATTCATGAAAAAAAAAACAACAACAAAAAACCCAGAAATAATATATATTTAAAACACTACACTCATTTATATTTTAAAATTATGAAGCCGCTGTGTTGAATTCTCTTAACGGAAGTATAGCAGGAAAGACAACTCCAACACAACGGATTAATAGGCAGTGTTTGAGTCTGACAGGAGTTATCTCAATTTTCATACTTCAAACATTGAAATAAAAGAAATGTTAAACCGTGATGGTTATCTTTCACGCAACATGCATTTTCATGAGAACATATGGATAGCATGAAGTATTTTTAATGAAATAAATTTGACTTGTAATCGATATAGTCAATTACAATAAAGCAGAGATGAAGGCTAGAAACACTGAAAAAGAAAGTCATGCAGTTTACGAAGACAATGCCATTACCAACGAAGTCAAAGAATTCATATTTAGATTTAGGAGGTAAATAAATCACCAAGCTTAAACATCCCACAAGAGTAGGATCCAAAGTCCGGATGTCAGGTTATTAAAAGAGGATAGTCAGTGTTAAGTCAATCAAAACACGAAAAATAAAGAATATAATGTTTCATTATTTGTAATTATATGGTGTTATATAAACTAAGAAAGTCAAACTGAAAACAACATGCGGATGTCCTCATTTTTTTTAATCTTATTGCCCTTATATGGAACCCGTTCGGAAACGATAAAAAAGCACATTTGTCAAAGACGTAATAAAAGTTAGACATCACATGCATGTACATAAAAACATTCAAATACTTTATTTGTCTCAAGCTTTCCAAACATTTTAAATAATAATTTTATAAAGTTTACTGTCATTTGTTGTTGTAAAAGTATTACTTGTGAACATTTCCTTTCCATGTAGACATTTAACTTTTTTCTATATACGATACTAATATAACTACAGTTTATCCTGCTTCATTTTGTTTTCCAATTTTTGATAATGCGCATGAAATATCTGTTTTATCAATACATTTCTTACCTTAACTACTCTACTTGCAGAATCGTCACATATCAAGATAAGTTTTATCTCATACCGATTTTGGATCTATTTGTCTGAATAACGAAGGATCCGATGAACTTTTCCCGTTTAATTAATAGCAAATGACTCTCGCCAATTTTGCTATTTTAGTTTGAATATATGATTGAATACATGATATAGATGATTTGTATTCACATCCCTTCATGACCCGTTTATTAATTTACGTCGTACATTTTAACACAGTAAAATTGTAATAAGAAAAAGGTATAATGACTGCTAGACAAGTAAACAAAAATGAGTTTAGAAATAGAGTTAGGATATTGAAAACGAAATAGTGTTCCCTTTTCATATATGACCTGCATTGTACTTGCTTACGTGTTTCTAAAACGATTAAGACATTATAATGGGGTAAGAATGGTGGAACCAACTAGTTCATCCGCACTACAAAGAACTCGAAAAACAAAACGGTAAGGTAGACTGTAATATAAGGTGAATTAAGAAATTTTGTTTAAGAGAAAAATCTAGCTAGTAAGTACGAGTGAAGTACTATCTAGAGGAAACAGAAGTATATATATATCTAGACAGTGTTGTGTCACCTTATCTCTCATTTCACTGAGGACTCTAGCCACAGTAATGGTCGATCCATTTCTTTGCTGTTTGAGGAAAAAAAGAAACATCACAGCGGTTAGTTACACTCAAACAACAATATCTTATATTAAATATGTAAAACATTTTATGCAAGGAGGGAAGTTATTAATTTAGGTTCACACGCACATCAAATATGTTGTGAAGAAAACATGTGTATTGCTATCAAGACATCAGCAATATGACATTTGGTGTTAAACCTTGTTGATTAAGTAATTATCGGTGCTTATTCGTCATGTAATATTAAATAATATTTTTTTTGCGCCGAAATTAAAAAAATTTTTATGATGTAGCAGTGTTAAAAAAATAGACAGAAGATTTATAGAAATACTGTTTTAATGGTCAGTGTCCTGTAGTTAATGCGTAATATATTCGATTTTATATAATACAGGGATTCAGATTCTAACGCGTGTGGTTAACATCAAGGACGGGAGGACGCTTAACACTGTCACTTCAGGTTTTTCATAAAGCCATTGACAACTTTATTCCGTTAATTAATCATAAGAAAAGATGAATATGGCATTCCTTGCAGCCACGTAGATAACATTATTTTTTGTCTATTTATAACCAAAATTAGGCCTCTTTTTTGTTTTCTCCTTTTTCTCGCTCTCTCTTTGGCTATGTCTCCCGACTTACATGACCCGGTGGAGTGTCATAATGGTACCTTTATGTGACCGTTGCGAGGTCCTTTATGCTATGGAACGTCCATACATGACTTTAGCTATAGCTTGGACACATAGACATAACCAAATAGCCGTTAACTCTTAGTTTTTATAATAATCATAGCTGAAAACGTGCAGCACACGCTCTCATGGAATATTAGGTTTCAGCAATGTCCCAATGTTGATATAATGTAATAAATTTGATATATGCTTGTAACTTTATAAACACAAACTTATATTAAATTAGAAGAGATTATGCTTATTCTAGAATATTTATTAATGCTTGACTTTGCTTAACCGGTGAAATGGGAAGCGATCTGGTATTGGGAACACATTGTTCTCTCAACTATGATTTACAGGAGGAAAGAATCGGATTTCTGTCAAATAAAAATTACTGTTTAAGCATATAATATTAAATTATAATATTACTACAGATTATCGTAATGTTTAGCAAATCACGCCACATCAAATAACACAAATTAATCTATTAGAGCAAACATATTTTTTTGCGAGAACACACAAATTTGAGTACTTACATCTACGCTAACTACTGCTCCGGTATTATAGACGGAGTCTTATTAAGAACAAATATTAAATGCATTTTGTTATTGTTTGTAATATTTAAATAATAATATTAAATAAATCAAAATTAGTTTCATATTTTGTTTTCGTTATATCATGCACTACCGATAGTCATACAAATGACACTAGTCACAAAAAGTCACTTCCTAATCTTGTCTCTGTTATACTAAATTCAATCAAACATGGCACACACATAGATATTATAATATAACATGCATTTTAGAATCCATGCGCTATTAATATGCATGCAATCCCCTCGTGATGAATAATTAATTTAATAATTATATACATATTTACGTTTATCAACCTTAGTTAACATTACACGAAAGTTGTTTACTAAGTAACATTAAAAATGGAACGAAACAACTAACGAGTTGGGTCTAACTATTATGCTTTTTTTTCTACATTATCTTATTGTCAGAAAATTCATATTTTAAGAGTGACTTTTCAGCATGTTAAAATAAGATAACTTATGTTTTATTATAATTTAACTTCTGACTTCCAAGCTAAGGTACGTACCTTCTTTGTGAGTGTGTGAGTATGTTTACTGTAAACAAAAGATTTTGCTCTTTCGGAATTTTCTGGTCTCTGTGAATAGCATTTCATAAACTCTAGATAGTGGAACCTGAAATAGAGACACATATTTATAATTAACATATCAGACAATGCACTAAAGTATATCAGAATAGAAATGTCAATGAGTATTAACAGTGAACATTACGTCGTTGTATATAGTGGTGATTAGAAGGTGTAAGTCGACACAAATCAAAGCAAGCCATTCAAACAGTCATATGAACCACAGTTATATTTGAAGTAACTATCAAGTGACGTTTTATACACTTTGTGTTTTATTTTCAGTGTCATTTCCCCCTTAACATGTAGCTTATCAAACAATATCTTACCCTACTATGACATCATCTATTATAATTAAAAGTAAGTACTCAGGAACATACCGTGTTAAAACAATGATAAATACTTTCAATACGTTCAATTAGGGTTAATACTGGTTATTGTTAAGTTGTTGAGTACATCGTGTTCTCAAATGTCTGTTATGGATTCCATCATTTCCAGCAAGAGATTTTTTTTCTGAAAATATCACTGTGTGAAATAACAACATTCGACGTGATTACCCAACGTCATTATTTGTGTTTTATGTGATCGGACAAGCAATATATCCTTTCGAATAAACACATACGTCTACGGGATTCTTATAATAACTTTCTCGTTTAATATCAGCTTTCTCGTTACTTTTTGCTAAGTATCAATCGTGAAATAAAATATTGCCTGATACATAATTCATATATAATGTAAGATATACACATTCTTGTGAACAACTGTCCTTCCTAATAAGTATAGAGGTGTCGGTTCACGATATTGAGGATCCCTGTTCCACAGCAGACAAAACGCCAGAGAATTTCATTGCAATTATTCATACTTCCAATTATATATCTTTAATTATGTTTATGATATAACCGTGACGGAACTTGGCCAGGAATCTACTACTGATAACGTAGCTCTGTTGGTTAGAGCAACCTTGTTTTGACCAGAGGTTGAGGGTTCGAATCACCTATTGTTCCGTTGCATTAATACCAAGACCACTCTTATTAAGCGTTTGTTTTGTTTTGCGTTGTTTTTCGTTTTATCATTTTTATTTAATTTCGGGTTTTTTTCCTGAAGGTATGGGCTTCTTTTCAGAAGTGATTTATCATAGCTTTCACTTACAGTTAAAATACTTTCCAATTCCTGGTTACAGGTTTTGACAATACATACAGAACAAATAAGTCACAGTTTTGTGAAGACCCGGATATGTTTTGTAATATACGTTTATGAACTACACATAGACGCGTATGGACTAGCTATACCTCCCTTGAATTAATTAATTGCTACCTGGTACACTTGTAGGAACAAACCACGAAATAAGGAAACCCCTGGTTCTCCATTGGCTTCAAGGACAACCATTTGGATTATATTGGTTATCAAAACAGAAGCAACTGTGCTAGTGTATATCTTTTTCTATTTTTATACAAATGGAAGAGTTTAAGCTTTAGTTTCGATCTCCGAATCGTCAGGGGACCTAGACAATGACGTAACACACTATCAGTTGTCGGTGATTTGAAGAATTGCCAGGGTTATCAGTAGTTTATTATTGCTGTACTCCATCAGAACAAGACATCTATTTCATATCTGGGAAACGCAAGTAAAGAACCGCACCGGCACTTGACCTGTTGCAAGCTGTTTCTAATAAAGTTGGTAAACGAGAACCCTTTAAAGTGAAGAGGTAGGTAAACACTTAACATAAGTTTACTCTTACCCTTCACATGTGTTAAAATAAAACCCCAGCATTGAAGAATACGACAACACTACAGTCGTGGGTTTTCCTCTTATATTTCAAAACGAACTGAGAAATTTCAGTAAACAGAACGTGAAGGAGATAAACCATAAATAGCACAAACACTTACCCACTAAATTTTATATAAGGCTGAAGTGTCACACGACATCAGTTTACCAATCACATTTTGTTGTAGAGTAATGTAATTTATTTACAGTAAACAATGAAAATCTTACAGCTTTACAATGTAACCATATACGAGTGTGAGGTTATATCATTCATCGTGGAGTTGTTTTGAGGAAAACCTTTTTACTGACCTTCCGTTTCTTTGAAGGTCAAAGCGTTGGCACAGTTCTTTCTTTTCATCCGACGTCAAACAGAAGTTCATACTATCCATGATGTCCTAGAAAATAAATACATTTATTCAACATACTTTTGTAAGGTGATCTATTAACATAGCAAATCATGAATACAGACAGGAAAACTTGTTCCAGCAATACGCTTTGGTTTCAGATGGTTCCGTTTACATACGTTAACATAATATGGAAGTCCTATTAGCAAAATTTAACTGAACACATATTTAAAACAAACTGGAGACAATTCAGTCTTTATATTTCAGCTTCAAATGACGTTCAGTTCAAAGAGATAGTCCGATAATTTTGAACAGGACTACATCTATAGAACTTACTCTGAACAGACTGAAGTTTAATACTTATATTGGTTGTATTTATTGATTTAATAAAAATAATTGATATTTAAATTTTCCATTCAATCTATGAATTCGAGATAAATTTTCAATACAATTAACAGCCAGCAGCCAGAATCGGTCTTCTATATCTAACATTATGATTATGACGTCACAAAATAATGACGTCATTGTCATCACTACATAGTTCTAGTCTCATAACTCACATCACACTTGGGAAGATTTTGATACAGTGGCAATGCAGAGCACATGTACATATATAACGTTACTTGTGCGGCGTTATTCAGCATTTTACGAAGCCATTCAGCTGTTAATAAACAGCAGACAATAATACGGTTTTTGTTCGATACACATAGTTTAAAATTTCTGTGTATTTTCTTAGTTTCTATATAAGCAAAGCACAGCAGGTACATTTAAACAGGATAGTGCATTAAATCAATAAAGCTAATATTGTTGGAAAATGAGTTCATTGTTATGTCATTTGTGTCTAAACATGCAAGGCGTACCGAGGATTATGTTTTCAGTGTACAAGAGAAACCTAATGCCTCTACTTAAACATCAGTCGGGTTTTGTCAGGTAAAGATTACAGGGTCGTTCTCTTACCAGCATTTCCTTCATGGTGATGTTAGCGAATCCATTGCGATCGATGAATTTAAAAACAGATTTGAGCCCTTCCCAGTTGTTGATAACCTGTAATACAAAAAGCTCAGTCTTAACAATAGATAAACGGGCATAATCGATGTTGTTCATGGTAATCCAAACTGTATTCACACTTTCCAATTTGAATAGGTGACCTTTAATTTTCATATCGAATGCACCTTTTACATAATGCGATCTAAATTTTATGTTAACATACAGCTTTAATGTCATTTTTTTTCTTCTCTCTAAAGCGGCGCTTAATAAACCTTGACTCATCGATGTGATGGCAGATTATTCTTCCACCTCTAAGTTCCATGCAAGACCATGGTGACCTGTTTGAAACACTTGTAATCTCTCCCACAGAGACGCACCCGGTGACTTGCATTTCGGAACATAGTTTTATCAATCATAACTAAGAAGTGCATAACCATATCCATTGTGTTTAAAATGGTCTTTCTTACGTTTACCAATGACATATCAATTTTGATTATCACACTTTTCCCCACTCTGGTGTTTTCAATAAATTAGTACGTACCAAAGTTTGCAATAGAATTTTACCAAACCCGATATTCTGGGTTAAATATGGGAGATATGGCAAGTCTGTTTTCTGACCAAAAGTTTACAATCGTACGTCAGATTTCAATAACCCCAAACTCACATATGTTAAGCCATACTTAATAATAAGTTTATATATATATAAATAAACAATATCGGTTTCAGACCATTTTTATATGTACACACCACAGCCAGCCACATCGATTCAAAACGCCAGCATACATTAAGCTGGCTATTGAAATGATAATGAGGAGAATTCCAGCACACCATAGTTGCCCAGCAATAACACTAGTCGAATCGAGCGTATGGATTGACCTGGACACATGCATGTTATAACACTTCCTTTCTGATCTGATGTAAAATTTAATTATAAGAAGTACTTAAACTACATCCCAGATACTATATAAAAATATGTTGAAGCATAAACAATAAAATATTAACTGATAAACTTACGTTTTCTTTGACCTTTACCAGAAGCTCCTTAGTGCGGACACTTTTCGTGGACATGATGGACGCTGGGGCTGATGGTGGTGGAGGCGGGAAGCTGGCGGCAGACGCTGTTCGTGATGGGGGACCTCGAGACTGAGGTGGTTTGGCTACCTCCTGTTGTTTCGCTTTCCTCTTCTCTCGACGTTCTCTCTGCACTCTTTTCGCCTCCTCTATCAATTCCTTAGTATTGTCACCTGTTATTAAGAATCGAAGTCACAACATTGATAAAACACATTATATATGCATTACCGGAATCATAATCCGCTAATAAATTTATACACCGTTCTCCTGTTCAAATCAGTAACATAGTCCAAATGTTCAAGTATTAATGTCCAAACCTAGCTATTAGTTTCCCTGGTAAGGCGAGAGGCAGCCTGTTGGCAATATACTTACTTACTAAACTGCAATAAATTGTCGCCAAATTCACTGCTCCATATATCACTGCTATCGAGCCCCCCGTATGCTAGCCTGAGATTAATGTGTGTGAGTCGAACAGAGGTTGTATTGATATTTGGGATTACTTGGTAACGTCAATACGGGGACCGTTATACGGCTGTCAACTCGCCCGTTTATATATACATTCTCTGTTTACATTTCACCTTGTCGGGTTTAAGAATTCTTTCGTGTTTCTTTTCAATACTGATGACGATTTTCAAATCATTTAGTATGCGTGGTTTAATACTTTTAAATATCGATCATTCATTCGAGTAATTTTTCTTATTTGCGTTAGCAATAATTGCATGTTATTATACATTGACTTGAGAAGTAAACTATGTTCCCAGTATACTTCTATTTAGAAGATAAATGCTTTTTAAAATGGAACCTTGGTCATTCTTATATTGAATAAAGACATACAATAGAGACCTGATAATAATAAACAGGTGGATAGCCAAGTATATTTCATAAAGGTGTGAGTATCTAAACACAGGTATTTATGTCTACTGTTACATTACAACTGTGTGTCTACCTAAGTGACATAACATCTTGAACATGCATACAGATAATTAGATTTGCATGAGGTATTTGTGATTGTGCTTGCAGTATTTCAACTCGTAAAACACGATACACAGCTTGTGCGTTCGATTCAGCATGCTATCAAATTTCACAGCTATGTTTGTTTGGATTGTGTTTATATTGTATGATTTTGAAAAACAAAGTTAAATTTAGGAAACTTCTCATATAATATTTTCACTCTTTAGATGGATAAAAACTGTCAATATATATTTTATACTTTATTATCTATATTGAAATAACTTAATCTAAATGTTGAGGAAGCGATGCCCTTGTAATGGACTTAAATATAAAAAAACAAGCACAAGGAAGGAATAACTAGCACTTTCAGCCTACCTCAACCATAACTCCATGTGATAGGAAGACTTTCTTTGTGACGTTATAATTGTGAGCTCTAGGTTCATCTAAACAATACATATTTTTGACGTCATAACAGACTATGACGTCATTAAGTTGACATCATGACGTCCAATTTAATAACGTTTTAGTGTTTAGCTTTTGGGAAAGTTCAAATTTAGTTACCTTTCAATAGCCCCATTAAATATTTGTATAGTATGTTTTCTGGTCTATTATGACGTCCTCTATATATGTTTTTTTATACGTTGTATCAATAACACAAAATCATCAAAAATGATTTTGTGTTCATATGGAAGGTATGCTCAAGGTACTAGCGATTCCTGAGATGCATTATTTTTTCATATATTCATTATAATTATAAGAACATAACGTTTTCAACATACATACATATACAAATATATTGATAAAATGTTCGAGAAGCAGTACGTTAGTCGAACAGATATTTTGAATTAAAAATAGAACAATATTGATGCAAACATAACGACTGTACATATCGTATATATATATATGTAATAGTTATTCAACATTCATATTGAATCCAGATGAGTTACAACGTATTCTATATGCCATTTTCTAGGCCTCCAAGTATGTCAGAAAATGCTTTATTTTGTTGTGGTAGTAAAACGTTTTTTTACAGAAATGAAAACAATGTAACTATTATATCAGAACGATGGAAATCGATTTCAATATTATTTGAAGATTTAAAAAATTGAAGAGTAGTAACAAAACATCTCAACTCCATCAATACACCAGCAACACAATACGATACAGGTCGAATACGAACCAAGCCACACTTTATCAAATGTACAAATACCATTTCCCGATATAAATGATTGATCACAACATCCAACATGACAATGCCTATTTGTCTTCCTGCTGTTAGCGTGCACGTGTCTTCCTTTGAATAAGTATGTACTTTTCTATGGGTCTATTTTTCTGTATGTATATGAATATATCAATAACTGAATTCCGTGCCATACCTGTCATGTTTATGAAGACATATATTTTGAACGCTTAAGAATGCAAGAATAAACTCCTTTTGTATCGGTTATAACTAATCCTGCGCCGAGGCGTTTAGTTTTTGGGTTTAAATAATTTATATTCATAGACTATTTTATGTATTGTCATTTTCGTACTTGGATTTAAAAAAACCCACATCAAACTACTAAACACATCAGTTAATAAAGAGCATACAGAATCCGGTTAGATGTAGCACACAACAACCACATGTTTATATAAACATAAATATTTGTCCACGTATGACGAAAGCCCCTTGCCATCTGCACAAAGAGAGATAACTCAATTATTTACATACAGCCGATGGTGGGAATGATACCAGTACTGCGCTTCCGTTTTGTGGGGTTACGCGAACCCCTGTCTGCCAGGCCTGTACGGTCATGAGCCAAAACTGAAATAGTGTTACTATGGTATAGTCCTGGACCTTTGATTTTTACATGTAGACAGTGTACAATTGTGATTTTAGACGAAAGTAAGCAAATAAGCCAAAAGAAAAGCCCAAATGAAACAGGTCTTAAAGTACAAGCAAATAAAATACACATCTTTACACAGCTTCAATAAACAGAACAGCTACACATAAATATAAACTATCTGTGTCTATGGATTGTGGTATTTCGGATCATACAGGGTTTTGGACTATGCATGGTTAACACGTGATCAACGGTATGTGATATAATATAGATTTTAAGACTCTTTCGAGTTTAGAAATTTAATATAGGAAAACCCCAATTAGTGGAAGTTCCCTTCTTATATCCATGGGCATTAAAGAGTCTTACATTCTTATATGACAGTTTGTCAGATAGGGGAAACACCTTAAGTTGAATGTCCCTATCCTACATCCCTGAGCATGAACGATTATTATAATAGTGCATAGCATTCCGTTATGGGAAAACACAACTTAATTGGAGTTTATACATTCATTATTAAAATAATGATATCTAACAACAAGATCGCGGGTATATATTTCGATCAAATAAATTGGTAAGTGATGTAAGAAAATAACTATCATTATACGAGCTTTTGTTTTTGCCTCAAATCTCATCTCTATTTCCCTGTTGTCATGCATGATGACATGATGGCAACAACCTTTAGTTGGATCACTATCACAATAAACGCGGTTTGTCGACTAAATAGGTAGCTATCGACTGTTGTATCTGTCGATTTCAACACCCTCGGCAATAATCCTTACTCTTAACACACGTATTCTATCATTCTCATGAAATAGTAATGAGAGTATTGATTTGGTGTCTATGCATTCGTTGGTTCAGGCGTTCATCTAATACAAACAACGTAAGCGGTATGTACTGCGTAACGGGACCAAAGACTTCACTCGACCGGTATAGATCTTACCGTTTGATGTAGATAAAGGGATATTATGACAACGTTTAGTTTTCTCTTAAAATAAATCGGAATAGCGCTATCCTTATAAATTACAATGAATCCTTTTACCATAATGAGTTTTTCTTATTGTATTTCTAAATATATGACAACCGAAAATGAGATATTTTGTCCTACTATGATATTACATGTATTTTCGTCTATAATTACTATTCCCATTTCATAGTTTTCTTCGTTTTTCTATCGAATATTTGTTTGTCATATCCTTAATAACAAAAATAAGTATTTTGCAAGTTGATGTTTATTTATGACGAATATATCTTTACTGGGATAAGAAACTAAGTTAGGTCTGGTGAAAAGAACAAGGCTTGGACATTGAAAAATATTCTCAGAGAAAACTGAGACCCCTATCCCTATCTCTGAAAAATATACCATTATTAAAGAATGAATGTGTCATTTTGAACCGAAATATATTGTTACTGAATAATGTATGAAACAAAAAAAAACATGTTTTCATACGCATCGATCGTTCTCCTGTACACATACTTTGCGTGACAATCTCCTTCCTTTCGGCAGTGGTTGACTTTAAATTGACGAAGTTCTTGAGGAGGGAGTTATAGCTATACATGCCATCGTCGGCCACGTTGAGTGAGAGCCACATTTTGTCCATTTCCGGCTGGGTCAGTGTCAAACCACAGCTGTTAATATAAATACAAAATAGATGTTATATAAATAAGTTATACATATGATTTTAAAACAGAATGAGAAAATAGCCATGCTATTATCTTTCTATAATATTGAATGAAAAATAAAACATAAAAATACTACTCCTTCCATTAGCCAAAATTATATATATGATATATAGATATATATATAAATGTAAACATATATACTTATGTGGGCTCTATACTATAATAGCATGTAGATTTTACATGAGAATATGTATATAATGAGAATACAATCAAAGCATTGTCTTTCAAAATTAAAGGACATCATTTGAAGGTATTAATCATACCGTTTATTCCGATACCGTGTGTTATATCGGTCGGATCAAATATGATCTCGGAAATTGAATCATATCTCCAAGACAATAAGACAATGTCGAGATTAAAGGATTGATGATCAGAAAGACATTATCACTTATGTGGTGGAGTGTTACATAGAGCGATTGTGGTTGGTACAGATATCATGGAGTCAACTGTGACGTCACACTAAAGGCAATACATATTCCGTCATATCTCTCCAGAGACTCAGACTTACAGGAACATAGAACATTACATAGATATTACGTCATGTCTGCGTACATTCGTGTTAATGATATGAAAAGCGATCTAAAATAATTTACTCTTGTAATAAATGTGATGCCTAATGTCGAGATAGTTTAATTAAATCTCACAACATTTGCAGTAATAATTTTTATCTACAGCATAAGGCGTTATATCTATCTCTTATACAATGAAAATATAGCCCTGTAGTAACTACGATAGCATATACAATGATTTGGTAAAATAACTACTATCAACACGACCAATGATATACTCACAGTTTTACTAGAGCACCGAATTGCCATTTACTCATCCGTCCGGTCATCTTTCTGTCCATCTCCTTGAAATGCTGTAGAGAGACAGAATGTGTAACAGAGCGTGTTTCTGAGGAGGTAGTGACCGCCCTGGACACAGCCCGTGTGTTGGAGGCGCGGTAACCATTTCTCGACGAACTACGTGTCATCGTATTAGATGACGTATTAGTGGAAGTGGTTTTATTGTGTATCTCCTTCTTAGTTATCATCAATGACATATCCATAAAATTCATGATGGCGGCTCACACTTGTAGGTCACCTGACCCACACACTTACACCACCCCACTGACGACACCACACAAACGTTGGTACAATATCAACACTATCCAAAGTATCCTCATCCAATATCTGGCATGATGGCGATTTATATTGTATACACGTTTCCAAGGTAAACCAAGATGCAAGATAATCGATATATGCCAATCAGAGCCTCTCGTCAGAGGTACGGATCAATATAGAAATGGGGTTGTCATAACACAGGTAGAAAGCTATCCCGTCAACACTCCTATTACAGATCACCTAACTCAACGCTTACACCAAGACTTATTTTACAAGGTCAAAACCCTTAAATAAATAGATGGTCATATCCAAATACACCGTAGTTCACTCATGTGGGACGTTCTTTTGACATACCCTCCACAGGTAGAAATTGACATTACACGTCTTCCCTGATATTGATTTATCTGAGGAATGTAAAGGTAGGTCACAAAGGTACTCTATGTACACAAAGACGCTAGGGTATCGTACCAGAGTATCACTTATTTTCCCTTGTGGATTTAAACATCTCACTGAAAGGTTAATAATGATTAGCTTCTCCTCATTGCTTGTAGAAATTTACAATTTCAGGCGAACGCTTTCAAATTATCTTCGGCAATATCTTTGTTTGGGATTTTAAAAACCTTGTTACAAGACAAATTATGGTGAGGTACTCTTTACCCTTATGTTGTATTCAATGGTCGTAGACTGTTTCGTGCAAACAATAAGCTAAAAGACGACTGAAGTGTGAAAACCATACGTTTTATAGGAGTGATAATCATGTAGTTATGCACATACATGCAAACGTAGCAAACCATTAAACAGCTATTGGCGAAAAACTGCACGACCATTTAAAACCACAGGTAATTGAGTTTAGTTATCAGATATTTTACACCATATAGAAATAATCGGTAAAATTATAACACGCTAGTAGAACAAACATGTTCAAGTACAGGCAAGTTTTACCTTGTCATTTATGCTTGCATGAAGATGACACAAACAAGTTATTACAATCGATAAATAATACCAATATGTAGGCAATAAATCGAACTACCGAGGTTTCATCATCGAAATAACGAAATCGAAATTGTCTACACAATAAAGATTTCATCAAAACCATGGGTTTGTTCACAGTTTCTGATCAACTATTTTATATGAATGTCAAAACAGGTTCTTGAATTGATTGTTATTAAAGTCATATCACATGCGATCGAGCGCTGAAACCATAAAGTATGTCGCATCTACAGCGTAAATGACAGACAGCAAGTTCAAAGATCATCATATCAAAGAATTTTCACAAACAGGTTGTACTGTAAGAATTATTAATTTACATTTGTAAGGACGAGTGTGAGAATAACGCCAAAAGATTCGTGCCATTACATTCCTATTTATTCTATTTTTAGGCCCCACTGAGTGAGACTCCAGATTGTGCACTGATACAAACACCCACACACCGCCATTTTGTGTTGAATACATTACACAATGAACACAATGTTAAGGGACATTCTCGTTCAACACCAATTCATTTCCTATTGAGCGATCATCATGGATATTTAAAGAAACATATTGCTTTCTGAGATCAGCGAGGTGGAACCGAATGCAATTAAATATATATTATTTTCTGGTGGTTTATTGAAATAACTACCGCAAATGTTACATTAAATATCCAGCTGAAAACTTTTTTGTTTTGTGAGAAAGTGCTTTGTTGACAAAATTTAAGAGAAATACACGTATAAATAAATTGTTATGAAAGCAATAACGACAGAATAAGAACAAATCAGAAAACGTTGCAATAAATTAAATTTCCCCACACATGCAAAAACGTAATATCAAAACTGTATTTCACATGCGAAGAAAACGTGCCTTTACGTTGGCATGTTATTTATGATATGATCAAGATGTATTTTCTCAAAGAAGTAAACTAAAGCCAGCTTACCTTGTCAAAAGTGTGAAATTTGGTGTTAAACAGGTCATCTAACAGGAGCTGGATCTGTCAAAACGAATAATATGTTTTATTTGTTTGTTCAAATTACACGTTTTAAACCAGAGGGAAGACATTAAAATACATCTTCATCATTATATCACAACGAAATGAGCACGTACTTGTTTTGAAAATACGTAAGACAAATCCGTTATCATATGCTTTCTTATAATTATCTTTATTTACATTTAAATGACACCATTCATACATAAATAAAAGTTTAAAAAAAAAATGTTATTTTTTGAAAAGTATTTAAACAATTTTCTTACATTAATATATATCATTAATACAGATAAAAACATCAACACTTACATCTTCAACGGTTCTGACATCGGATTTCGGTTTCTCGACCTCATGCGGTACCATGTGTACCTTGGCCTTCTCTCGCAGCTTGTCCAGTTCCGGGACATGGCTCATGTCATTTCCACTGACCTGGACCACGGCCATTCCGTCCTCCATTCTCCTATTCCAGGAGCCGGGTCTGTAGGCCGTACAATGTGATAGGTTAATTAATGGGTAAATCGTTTACATTGTTATACTGCGTTCAGTAAGATATAGACATTGAAAAGATAAAGAGAGATCAGGTCAAATGATCAATGATTAAAAAACCGTAAAAAGAATGTAATTCACTTAAATGTTGAAATAAATTCAAATCCCTATGTTCCAATATCAATAGTTTCTGTTGAAATACGACCATGATTTCAAACATTAAGGGCTCTGTCGTTGGGGATAAATCGTCAAAAACTGAGAAGAGTTCATAAAGGACCCCGTAATACTGTCAAAACCTGTGACTACCTCATTTCTGAAGAGAAAAGCATACTTCGCAGGACTTTTAAGGAAAATAATAAAGATGAAATCAACAAATAATAATCGATAGCAGTTTTCTGAGAGTAAAACATCAGTTGGGTGTGACTAGGATTCGAACCCTGTACCTCGGATTGTTGCGCTATTGGTCCAACCGATCGAGCTTACAAGCCAACGAAAGTACTGCGCGACAGATATAATTATGCGAAACGAAATTAAGGGGAAGTTACTGTACAAACGAAAAACAAAGTGGTATTTCCTATTGTTCTGCCTGCAGTAAAACATGGATCCTCAATTAATCAACGAATTCCTAAAAACTGTATTGATTAATGTATATGATAATTGTATTAATTGTACATCTATGTACTGTAAAGCGCTTTAGAGTGGCTTATGTTAGCTAGACAGGGCGTTATATCAAATGCTGCATATATTTTTTTTAAATTAATTTTCAATTTCTAAAGTAAGTATATGATGTCAGTATGTAAAATATATGCTACTATCTTATTTCGAAAAAGAAGTTTCACCTACATGACATCGAACATCTGGAGGAACTTGTGGTAGGGGATAAGTCCGTCACCATCTTGTCCAACGTCTGAATGTAGCTGATCCCATTGTTTCTCAGATATCTGGTAGCCAAGCCTCCGTTCTATTCCGCACCGGAACTCGTGTGGAGTAATAACACTCAAATTGTACTTGTCACACGACCTTAATTTAAATATTTATCATGTTATACATACAAAAGTGCAATTGATGAAATAAATACTAATCATAGTCGTAAAACGATTTATGTGATATGTATTTAAACACATATTATTAGGTATTTACATGATTAATACTAATTTTAATTTTACAAATTGAGAATAATATGATATAGCATGATATAGCTATAACACTTCCCATTGTCAAGGAAATAAGTTTCAGTATCAAATTTCATCTGGTGAAAGCATATCAATAGCATTTAATGGGTATGTAATGGTACGAATACGTCTTTATATACTATTTATTTCTTTTTCTTGATTTATAATGTGTTCATTTTAAGATATATCTGAGTTGTGGAGGCACTAGTATTGATATGAATTTGTATTTATATTTATCAGGAACAAAGTCATTAACGATCTTAATTAGGTCTCAAATTCATAAAAACTTATTCAAATTGAGTCTTAAATAAATTCTTTTTAATCAACCTTAAGAAATTCAAATACAAGTTTCGAGATTCTTTTCATATGAATGCAGGACACTTTTGCATTTATTCAAGAACATCCATTGGTGGAGAATCACAAAACATTATGAATTCTAATTTCACATCTGCAGTGTCACAATTGAAACAATCAATCACCAACCTCATTAGGTTTAAATGTATAACAATTCGTTTTCTTTCTGTGATTGCTCTTCTGAAACGCATTCACGATGATTTAAATTCATATAATGGACAATGACATGTACATATTGTCTTTTTAAATGTTTCGAAACGTGTGTCCACAAATGTTTAAATCGTCTTCAACTGTCCTCGCAAACTCTCGTGCAAACAATCATCCTTCAAACAGGAGTGAATGACAGCAGTACAGAAGACAACAGTTGTGCGATGATTTTAAAACATATGTATATACTATTACCTAAAGTAGGAGATGAGTTTGATGAAATCCCCATGGAAATACTCTACAAGTTTAGCCTCTAGTTCCTCCGCTGTGAGTCCCCCCTGTGAACCAGGTAGTGTGTCTGTCTGGAACCTGTTTTTAAAAAGACATTGGCAAATATTTAAACAGTTTGCAGATTTTGTCATCTTCGAAATCCATGTGCAACGGTTTCGATATAAATATCCTCTCTGTACGCCTGGGTTTTTGCATGAACAAAATGGAATTAACCAATTAGCTAACAGGTACCGGAGAACCTTCGATTCATGAATCACGACTAATGGAGCAGTGTAGACAAGAGTTTTCAGAGCAGAACCTCTTGAATTTGGAAGGGGAAAAGAAAGCAAAAAATAAAATAATATTTTGTAAACAGGTTTATTTGAAAAAAATATTTGTTGTACCTAAACAGATTGAATTAAACATAGTTCCTTTTAATTAAAAGCATTTTCAATCGCCGGGCAAGATCATGTTAGCCTTGATTACGCTGTCTTACCAAGTTACCATACATTAAGACCAGTATACTGCAACAGCCTCCGTTAATTAAAAATGACATATAAAGGTAATACAATAAGTTATCTAACGCATCAAATATATATTTTATTAATAAATCCCTCTTTTTACATATTAAAAAAAATATACTTAACGCTTTAAACCAATCAGATTCCGCGCTATTTTAATGTATATATTGACAAGTTTGGAACATGTGTACGAGTTGTTTCCCCTTATCATATACTGTTAGTAGTTGTATGTAATGCATTAATGTTACATTTGTAATATGAATATAACCTATATAAAGTTCTGTTATCTTTTAGAATTATTGATGGTATAGTGCAACAATGTTATATAAATAAATGAGAATATCATTTTCAATTACATTTCACGATAAAAATATCATTTAATGAAGTAATAAACATTGTAACAACAATATATGACGATAACTTCTTTAAAATAGAAACTGAAACTTTTCATTTTTGTGTTATCACTTTACTTTGTTTATAGGAAACAGTTCACAAAATAACAAGTCAGGCTAGCTCTAATAATATTTATGAAAGACACAATAGCGTATTCACACAGAAAAAAACCTCTATGCTTTAAGTCCCTGAATTACTTACATGTGGTACTGGTTTGTAACCGTTCGATTCGTTATGCTGTTTTCAGCTTTGCTTTGGAACTTAGCCAGGAATTCCTTGTAGTTGAGTTGACCACGTATAGAACGAATTCCAATTCTAGATAGGCGGACAGAAAGACAGACACACTTGTAAAGGTCTATACCTGAACTCACACACACCATATAATGCCATGATAATGTGCTTAAAATATCAATTTTTAGGTAAATTTCATCATAATCTATTTGTCCTTTTTATGTTTTTCGTCGTTCTATTCAATGGTTTCTTTCATATGCTCCTTTTGCTGTTTTACCTGAGGTATATTTCTTTTCTTATAATTAGTTGTCCGCATTAGAATCTATGTACTGTTTTCATCTTGTTGTATTAATGATGTCAAATTTTCTTGTTTAGCTCTTACTCGCTGTGACTCAAATAGAAATTTCAAGACTTATTTTATACTAATGCAGGGCACCTGCATATATTCCAGAACATCCACTGTTTCCCCAAAGAATCGCAAAGAAACCGACTTCGCCTTAATGACTATATGAACACAATCAATTGAGACACGAACGCATCAATTCATCACCTTGTCCCTCGGTTAAACTTTATATCAATCGTTGTATAATTCAATTATGAATTGAACGACAAAATGGAAACAGTTTATTGAAAACTATGATTAATGAGCTACAAATCAAAGATCGAATTTTAGTACATTATATGGCTTTATATGGCATGTATCTAATTTCTACACAAATATTAACTATAATTATCTACAACTAATTATATATAAGTACTTCTTTACTCTTCAACGACGACCAGTCGCACTGAAGCACCTACAGAAAATGCTATCACAAATCGATTAAATATACATTTGACCTACTTTTCCTCGTTAACAGTTAGCATAGTATCGCCTAATACTAGGTTTAAACAGTAAGGTAGTTGCTTGCTATAGACACATACCACATCTTGCGTCTAGTGCAAAATGTCACCTCTCTTTTTATTTTGAATCTTTTGGTCCGTGTGATCTTTCTGTGTTTTAAAACATAAACTATGTTATTTACTGATTTTAACACAATAATTTTGTAAGGTACATGAATAATATATATTATAGGTAGGAAAGAAGGTCAGTGCGCAATGCTAATGAATTCATAAAAAGGCAGTAATTTATGATTCAATAGCATATCCGCGAGTCTATTTTAGCCGGCATATTACAATTAAACACTGACAAATAGCATGGTTACTTTACGGTCGAAACATTCATTGGACTACCGAATGTCATTGTAAGCATAAGCAAGCATTTGGTTTTGTTCTGTATACATTCAAGTACCATTTATGCCAATAAAAGCTACAAACACAAATAATAACATGAAAAATCGTCAAAATGCTTCAGTTTACTCTACTACAATAATGCTGAATGTTTTAACATATTCCAGGACACATTATTCATGGGAGCTTCACTTTTTATAGGACGTAAGCAAGTATAAGAATTATCTTAATGGTATAGCTTGTTATATCAGTCAAATCTGCAATGGAAACAATCTTCAAAGCATGTAAAACATCCATCTCAAATAATTAAAAAAAATTCTAAGCATATTGTTTGTTGACATATTTTAAAACTTCTAAGACACAAAAGCGAATATGACACCCCAAAGCGAACTTTTCCAAAATGTAGTAAAAATAGAAATACAATTCAATGTAAATATATTAACATCTCCAATAAAGCAAACACTGGTCTAATGAATTTCAAAACAAGGAAAAGGAAATCTTGGACAACTAATCTTAAGACAATCTGATATTTCCTTTACTCAGAATCCCGACTCACCTTGCGAGGAAGTTGTCGAGCTCCGTGACGGTAACGTTGAAGCCAAATTCTTGTAAGCACCGTCGGAAGTCTATCCGAGATATGTAGTTGTCACTCAGGTAGTCAAAGAGCTGGAAGGCTGTCATCATAGCGTTGTAGGACTCCTCAAACTGTGACAGTAAATAGAACACTTGTACAATGTTGGTAAAGGAAACAACTCGTACAACGATGGTAAATGAAAGTACCTATTCAATGACAGTGAATGAAAACTCGTATACAATGAAAATAAATGAAAGCACTTGTAGAATGAAGATTCATAAAAAACAAATTGTAAAAACACTTGTACAGTGACAATAAATGAAAACACTTGTACAGTGACAAAAAATGAAATCACTTGTACGATGACAATACATGAAATCACTTGTACAATGACAATACATGAAAGCACTTGTACAATGATAGTGGATAAAACTACTTATTCAATAATAGTTAAGGAAATCTCTCGTACAATGACACTAAAGGATTTTTTTTTAAATTCATCTATACAGGTAATGGTCTTTTACCATCTTTTTTCAACGAATATAAAATATTATAATCGAACGCTTGATCAGCATTAGAAACTTCCGTATGAAGCATCAAACTAAATTAAAGCAGCTAAAATAGAAAATGATAATAATACTAATTTAAAAGAAAAAAGACTAACTTTAATCTTACATTCGTCATGAAAAGACAGGACTTTAAAAACAATAAACCCCCAATAACCTACATTAAATCTAGGTGTTCCGGATATGACGTAAATGTCGTCAATCAACCTACATGTTTTCTTGTATAGTGAACAGGTACGTTCCATTAGAGACTACTTATAATTGAGAAACTACTACGTATTCCATTAAGCATGTAATTAAAAACATTTAATAACCAGTTTTTATGTGCTGAATAGATTAAAATAAACAAAAGTATTGATATTTTAGTAATAAGTAAAACTTACCCTATAATGAAGGCAGTCAACGACATTGTCAAGCTTCACGCTTTTCCTCCGTTTGGGAATTCTGACTTTCGATTGTGGTGTTGATAAAGGGGTTTCTGTGGTCTTCGTCTCCTTGGTTGGTTTATCCGGCGCACTGTCCACCGGCTTCTCGTCAGTTTGTGTAGTTGTATACAAGTCATCCTTACGTGATGCCGCCTGCTCTTGAATGTCTGTGGTCATAAACACTTCCACATTAATTTTGTTTTCGGCAGATGCCGGTTTGTCCTGAGGTTCGTTAGCGTTTGTTTCCGTTAGAGAATTAACTTCGTTTTTAGGATTTACACCCATTGCCTCAGAACGAGGTCGCGACTTAACTTCCTCCTTGAGTTTTTGATATCGCATGGGTAAATCACGTGCAGTTAACGACTTTGGTCTGCCGGTATCCACCCCGATCCTTTTCAGGAATCTGTGCGTAAAAATGGCTCCTGTGCCCTCTTTATCATACCTAGACAAAGACGAAGAATATATTATCTTTTACACGACCATGAAGAATTTGTCTCATTCATGGTTTCTCTTTGAATTCATAAAATGACTAATACAATATTTAGTTTGACAACCTGGTAACCCATGCATGCAAAATTATTGATGTTTTGCATTTTAAAAGAATTCACTTTTATGAATTTGCAGATTGAAAAGGTTACATACTGTGAAAATTAGTTATGAAGAATCGACATAAAATACAAAACCTAGATACCATTGATCAAAGAAGAACCCCAAACAATATTACATCATTAATGGTATTTGTGACTCAAATTAATAGAACACATTTACCTCTTCCATAATGTATCGAAGTCTCGGTTGACCATGTAAATGCCGAGTTGTGCATAGGCCTCGCGGAGTTGTGGAGGTACTATCATACCATTGAGCTCAAAACATGCAGCAGGAAAAACCAACCTGGCATCATCTCTGCAAGCAATGATGCAAATTTCCATTTCATGTTTAGTAGGACAAGCTAGTCAATTACATAACTAATTTTTGATGTTAGGGAAACTTAACGTTTCAAACGTACCATTAACATGTTGGAATAGAAATGATGGAAAATAGAGAATGTGATACACATTAGTTATACCTTGGTGGTAGATGATAAAGGATATCATAACATGTATATGATTAACGTTTCCTCCTCGATAATATTAGCATTAGGGAATTGTAGTATGGTGACAGGAAATCGATTTTCTATTGAAAGCTGAATTTGGTACAAACATGCATGATGCATAAATGATGTCTTTCGTTCAAATGAGCTTAAACTGAGACGTTCGGATAGTTAGGTAAATAGTTTTGGTAAGGTGCTTAGGAAGAGGCTTACATGGTTTTGATTTTTTGTCTGAACATATCGTCTGAGAAGGGGGCTGAGAAGTACGGATCCTCTACAAGCATGTCTGTGTTTTTTAAACTCTCCTCGGGATTTTTCTTCCGATTTCCCCTATCTGTCAGTGAGCGCTGCACGGGACTCACCCACTCTTTCTTCACAGCCTGACAAGTCACAAATATAATGCTTCGGTAATTTTTAATTTGTTACAAACGTTTTCAAGCAATATCTTTGAATCACAGGGAGAGGAAATATGAACATGATATCTTTACATCACATGAACAGGAAATACTTTCATGAAATCACGATTTAAAATATACATTTAAAATATTATAGCAAAAGAATCCGCGATAATGTTTTTAAAATTCATATGTATGGTATATTTTATTTGCTTTCATTTAATATCAGAATACTGCTATTTCTAACTGATATTTTGACTATCGCATGTTATAATGTATATGATTAGCAAAAGAAAATAATTTTACGGTAGATCATCGTTGGCCGCGATGTTATGTTAAAAAAATCATGAAAGCAATAAACGAAATAGTAAATGCTATAACCATAGAGACAATAAAGTCATTATAATATAATAGAAGCTTTCGATATAAGTGTTCCAAATAACCCAGCACCAACAAGTAAAACGAACTTAAAAGATCCAGATTCCTTCTCTCAACACAATTTAAAAACAATATGAGTTAAACACATTTCTCCATATGCCAATTATTGAAATTTTTTCACTTTTGTAAAACGACGACAACACAATTGCAAATATAAAAAACCCACAGTGGAATATAGAACACTACGTATTCAAATGTAGTTCTCCTTATACCAATAAAAAATGCTTCAAATTATGCTACTTAGGTTAATTGATTAACACCATACTACTTTAAACCACAAACCTTCAACTATTTGTTTTATAAATATAAGTAATAATTTACCGGCAAGGTTTTAAAGTTATCGAATATATTATCCCTAGGTTTGACCCTCAGATCCCCAAGGTCAATGTCTATATAGTTCTTGACTTTTTCCTTCCTCCTTTTTACCTTACAGATTCCATTTGACTGTAATAAAATATTTAGTTTGCAACAAGTCATTATCCTTATTGACATCTTCGATAAACATATTGTTCAAGGTGGAAAGATATATAACGCTTTAAAAACTAAAAATAATGACAACATTAATACTGAAGTAATGGCAGGTGAATTTGTGATGGTGTCTCCCGTCAAATACATGACAGGATGTCGCATTTGCCCGTTGAGATGTACAACATTAAAATTCCTTTATCATCAAGCCATTATATAATTCATAAAAGTGTCCTCGATTTTTGTTGACGTTTTATTGTTACGAACACTCATCTTCAAAGCTTTTATATAATTATGGTAAATGCAATATTGCGAAATAATTAACGATTTTTATATGATATCTATAGGCTTTTCTCATGTGTATCATTTTGAAAATATTGCCAAGTATACTTACTTCATTTTCTTTGAAACAGCTTACAAACAAATCAAACGATATAGGTTCTCGTCCTTCAAGGCCAATTCTGTAAAAATGAAGAAACTTATATGAATTTCCATTTCAGATCAGATGCATAACACTAATCTAAAAAACCCATTTAAACTAGCCTATTGAAACTTAAAATTCCACAATAATGACTCTGTATGAGTTGTTTCAAATGAGAGGTTACCATGTAAGCTAATGTTATTTAGTTAATATTTGATGACGTCACAATAGGTCATATTTACATTTCTTTCAACGTAGAAATAAATTTTGTTATTTCAAACAATTTTAATAAATATAAAGATTGCGTTTCCATGTCAAAATAGATCCAGGTTATTTCTTATCAATACCTTAACAAACATTGAATTTAAATCCATATTCGGATCAAATAGATCAAAGGTAATACAAAGCAAATACTTCACTCTACTTGATAAGATTGCTTGCATCGGTCCCTGTATTTTATTGACATAATCTTATAGCTATCAGCACCTCTTCTCGTCTGTATACATTTATCACAGAGGGCTGTTTAGTGGAGGGGTGACGATCGAAAGATCTTCTCACAATCACCCACATGTAAGTCAACGAGCTAGCTCACTGATATACATACATGTCTGTAGATTTTTATCATCTAAATCTCCCAGAGAAAGTTTTCCACATTATATATATTTTCCCCAAAATAAACCTGTTTTGTAATTTTCAATAAGTAAAATATATAACTAACTTAACACACATCTTAGCAAATACTAGATAGGTAGATGAGAAAGTAAATGACACTTCATTCGTAAAAAAGTGTATCTTACTTAGGTAAAGAAGTTGAAAATACAAGTTACCCACAACATAGTTTCTCAAACACCTAAGGATAAATATTGTTCGAAGGACTCAATTTGATCATGCGTTCGGCACTACAAACAATAAATAAAAAAAGGAAAATTCGTTTTGCGTCATTGCAGTAAGAAAGCTCCCCCAATCAATATTCGGTACTTGTCAAATTTAAAACGAACATGATGTCAATCCGATGCCTATTGATCTCAGATTTAACACGACAGTAAATCATCTGAAGATATCTATACACCAATCACATGAAAGTTAACCTTTCGATATCGGCGATTTAAAATTGTGAACTAGATTTTCGCGTCTTTTACTGGAATCAGGAAAAATATACACTAATTTCCAATCTAAATAATGAACTTTCTTGCTAAAACATAAGTATTTCAATAAAGTTTTGAAGAAACCCGATGAATTTGATTTGATAAAAAGCATATACAATTATAATATGTTTAAAACCTCTCTGTATATATTTATTGTGAAGTACAAACAGGTTTTTGTACCGAATACACCGAATTACCTGGAGCGGTATTTATTATTTATAGGTTCATATGAACAGCAAACTAAATTTACGGCTACTGGTGGATTATACAGCTTTATGTCGTAACTAGATTAGGTTTGTTATTCACATTAAGTCATTTGAATTTGTATGGTCAATTTCACCACAGTAATGAAGAACTGGCTAGTTATACCACTAATAGTTCATAATGCCCTTAAATATTAAAACAGGGATTAGTGTTGAGATTTTAAGTCCCTCGAACAACTATTGGTAGGGCAGGAAGTTAACTGTTGTTTGGTACACCAGGTTATGTAAGAAAATCAGTCTGACTTACTTTTTGAGGAATTTGTTAAACTGGTCAGTCGATATGTACCCACACACTGTATAGATAATTCGAAGCAATGCCTCTCTGTAACAAAACAGAAAAAAAAAAAAAATACACACTTTGATAAAATCTCTAAGGTTCATTAGAATGCTTACCTACGTAGCAAACGAAAGTCATTTTAAGTCGTACACATACCATGTGTTTGACATAATCCGTTCAATATTAGCAATTTTTAACAAATATAATTATACTGGTACATTTTCAGCGCTAATTTGTATCGACAAAGTGTATAGTGACATAGAATAGGATTAGGACGTCTCTCTATTGATATTTCATTCATCTTATAAACATTTCTATGAAAGAACAAGTTGCAGACTTACCTTGTAACGTTGCCTTGACCAGTCGGGTCGTTTGACCGGAAGAGATTTCTCAGTCCGTTATGTCCTGTGTTCAGTTTATCCTTCACCATGTCAGCCACCTAAACATAACGTCACCATAGAGGTTAATATACATCGGTATTTCACTTCCCCGTGAAACCTACACAATCTTCAAATTGTTATACGAAACATACACAAGTATTCCACTTCCCCGTGAAACCTTCACAATCTTCAAATTGTTATACGAAACATCCACAAGTATTCCACTTCCCCGTGGAACCTAAACAATCTTCAAATTGTTTTATGAAACATACACAAGTATTCCACTTCCCCGTGAAACCTACACAATCTTCAAATTGTTATACGAAACATCCATATCAATTCCCCGTGAAACCTACACAATCTTCATATTATTATTATACGAAACATCCACAAGTATTCCACATCACTTCCCCGTGAAACCTACACAATCTTCAAATTGTTATACGAAACATCCACAAGTATTTCACTTCCCCGTGAAACCTGCACAATCTTCAAATTGTTATACGAAACATCCACAAGTATTCCGCATCACTTCCCCGTGAAACCTACACAATCTTCAAATTGTTATACGAAACATCCACTTCACTTCCCTTTGTAGACAACATCGCCCTTTATTATAAACACTGCTATGAATTAGAAGAAAACAGATTATTCTGACCTTATTGCATTAATTCATAAAATGATAAAAAACAATAAAAAAAATCTCGACAATCGTAAACATATATCAGCGACGTTCTCTCTTTGAACGCAAGATTTCATTACGTAATATGTCTATCGCTACAGGACATCGACTTCAAATGACTCACCTCAAACTGACTCCGTGAATGTTCGGACTTCTTTCCCCGAGATGTGGCAGCCTTCGGGCCAATAAGGTGATCTATATACAAACATTACCATGTTTATTCCGATAATTTAATGCAATAGACAACTAAGCCAAATTCTACATCAATGGTTAAGCAAACAATACTTTTTGCACTCCAAATGTAAATATCTATATATACAAAAATGCTATTAAGTATGAGGGAGATATATGGAGTCACAATCTACACTACTTTAAATCGGTCTGAAAAGTCTCTCGGAAGAGATGAAAGAGCTAAGACCACTTGTTGTTGATTAGTCTGCTGTGCCATTGCCTTCTAGTTCTCTTATTAATCACAAACAAATAAATAATTGTTTGATTTTCATTAAGCTAATATAAACAAAATATCAATATTCATTTTAATCTATTTTTACAAGAAAGCACTTTAGTCAATTTACTTGTACAACTAATAAAGGATGGACGCCATTCGACTCATTTCACTTAAGATATAGGTTATCCATAACCGTGAAAAAATGTTGAAGGAAGTCGTAAATATCTGTTATCTTATAATATAAGTATATCATTGTATTTGTTTTAATAGTAATGGAATATATTTTTTATATATATGTCATACCCTGTGAGTTATTCACATGCCAGTTTTCGTTAAACAATGAAATATATTCGTCATGCATAACTTAAACATACACGAGTAGATTTTGATTTATAATACTGACGTGCGACAAAGATCAATAGAAAACAATACAAAATTACAAGATATTTTCATATAAGCGTATCTTTATATCTATATACCCCGAAACTGCTAAAATGGAACACGATCAAGAAAGAATGGATAATAAAAAATTGTCATAAGTGCGACATTTATTAAACTTACACAATGCATATTGTCAATACAAGTCTGTTCTATTACAGTGTAATTATTGAATAGGAGATAACAAAAGACCTTTATGGTTGAATGACAACCAGGCCTTACATGGTATCTAAGCGCCCATCATCGTACAGTACTTGAAAACAAAAGACATTGACGCTATAAGAAATATATTCGAAATATATGTAGTTGACATTTAATATTTATTTTACATCAACTAATTTTTTTTTAATGTTATCCTAAGATGCCATATACATTCGTTAATAATTTGTGAAGATGAAAACACTTAAATCGTTTTGCTTAAAAATTCTTAAGCTATTAATACTTACTCACATAAGAGGTACACGAAATATATATACATACATCTTACGTAGTCAAGGCGAATACAAATGATTATATAAACGAATATTAGGGGTATAGATATTTGCAAACATATAATAAGGGTAAATATTAATAAGTATATAATGGTATGGTATAAATAAACACAAATATGTTCATAACATTATTTGAAAGATAATTGTATATTTTCGTTACATAGAGCCATAACGCGACAGAAATATAGAAGTCATCATATTGTAATATGACGTAAATACATGATTTGAATACTTTGATAATTATAAAAAAGTTACCACGAAGTCTTTGCCTTATTCCACCATATATTCAATGATATACATTGTATCTGAATGTGTATAGATGTTTTACTAAACAGCAAACCTCTTAATCCAAACATGTGTATACACCAAAGCTTCAGGTAGGTTTTAGAAAAGCAAATGCTGGAAATAATTTGTCCTTTCTATTGTGTTTCGGTTTGGCAAGTTCTCGCTTAAAGATTCTAAAAATAACGATGCATAACTTTTTACCTTATTATACTATTTTATTTCTAGGAATTAAAAAATGTAACCTTAACATGTTCAAAGCATACAATTAAATGGTATTCATAAATTGTTAAATATGGTTATTGAGCACAAATCACACAAGAACACATAACGCAAAAACACACAATCGATGCAAATCAACATTATGCAAACGTTCAAAATCTATATTTATTCTTTCTGTTGATAACATTCAACTATAATGAACATTATATTATGAAATTACTTGTTTAAGCGTTATTCATATTTTAGTTTTTCCCCGAACTGATTCGAAAGTGCTACATTTTGGTAGCCACCAGCAATAAGAACATTTTAATCCCAGCATATCATAAATAGTTTTTAAGGTAAACCCCGATACGAGTATTTTGAGAATAGACGCTGATGCACGGAAATAATCGTCCGCAAAAATATGTCAGTTTACAGTAACTAATATCGATCCTACGCAGACAATGATATCAACGTAATCATTAGCCATTTCATTAGGAGTGGTTTCACTCCAGGCATAAACGTTGGTGGGTGGTTTCCTGATGCAATGAAAGACAGTTAGTTGTGAAAAAGGAAGGGGTATATATAGATGTGACTTAAAATAAAACAGACAGTCGTGGTTATGTCGGGGACGGAAAGCCAAGGAGGTTTACCATAACGATTTGATCCGAAGCCATTAGGACGATGTGTCCATTGCTTGCCTTCAAAGTTTCCACGACCCTCTGTGGTGGGTTAAAAAATATCATTGCAGGTTTGAAGACGGGTGTTTGACAAAAACATTGGGATTATTTGCTGAACAGATAAACATAGTTAATGCACAAGTTATTGAATCAACATCACATGCAACAAGCAATGTGTTAGCAGCACAGCATTGCAACACGCTTCAACCAAACTGTTAACCTTTGGATCTATCTTCCACCAAGTCCATAATTTGGTCGAGAGATGGGAGTTTAAACGAAGGTTTGCTCTTGCCATATTCGTCCTCCCCAAGATTCTCTATGGGAGGTAGAATGACGTCTGTCATCCGTTTACTTATTTCTTCTTTGTGGCTCTGAGGGATCAGGCCCGCCCTTTCGGCGGCTGACCGACGATAAGTAAAAGGCGCCGTGTAGTCACATACTAAAGAGAAACGTATCAAGAAATACTTATGTAGCTGGCTGGTGCGGAGGTTTGCCTCTTTTCGTATGACTTATATAGCGACGAAATGTGATCTTCATTCAATGACAGCGTAGAAGAAATGATAAGTGCGATAATAATGGTAAGGGTGAACTCATTTCTACCTCGACAAAGATTGGAATATGCTCACAATGTCAAACAATAAACAAACTTATGAGGAAACAAGAATCAACAAAATAATCAAAATTCTGGAAAAATTCTGTGTTGTTAGATAAATTGTATTGACTTTGTTTTGCTTCTGCACGTGTTTTCAACCCTTGTCAGCATCGACACATGGAACAATAGTACACACTTGAGTTAACATAAACATTAAGATGTAAAACCTCCTGATAAGTCCGTTCTTCGTTTGATGTTTGTTTCACATAAAACACTGTGATATGATTCATATTTGTTTTTACATAAACTTAACCTGCCGTGTCTGCTGGTTCAACGACAGACAATGAAAATGGGTAGGCTTAAGGCACATAACATTAGTTTGCATTGTTTTGATTTACATAAGTGTTGAACAGATGTTCGGAAGTTCTAACAAATAGTTCTGGCACGAAATAAAACGGATTCTTTGTTGTAGAAATACAGATAATTATTAATACACTTCAAACATACTAGAACTACATTCATTGTCTAAACGATTAACAAATTCAGTGTTGTTCATATGAATTTGTTCATAAAGACATGATAAACACTCATTCTCAAAATATTGCTTGATTAAAAAAATGAAAATGTTGCTTAAAAAACCCATATCCATTTTGTTGATGAATGCACCATGATAATGATAGAATGATATAAAACATTAAATGACCCATGCAACGTAGAAGCAATTGAACGAGAATGAGTGTAACATCAAATTAATCTCATTTTCTCCATACAAATAGGTCTTACCAGAGTCTGTAGAGTTTGTAATCGAAAAATCTGCAACTACAGTGAAACGGGACAATATATATATTGTATTCAAGGACTCTGTACACATTTACACAAAGAGTGTTTGCGCAACCCATTGGTAAACTGTCATGTTTCAAAGTTTTTAATTCATGTGTTGGTGTGTGTCTGGTATGTTTTAAGTGTTGTGTTTAATGCACACTCTTTTCTGACAGACCATTTGTATTCGTCATATAATAAAGTCGATGTACTTAGGCCATGTTAGTATGGAAATGTTGATCAAAGGTAATGACTTCTTCAACTTGGAGAAAAAAGTGTGAATTGAGGTACTATCTGCAAAGAATATGGCAACTGAAAAACAAAATGAAAGGTTGTAAAAAATGTTTCCTGTTCCGTAGCCAGGCATGGACATTCATTGTTAACATGACTAACAGTTGAGCAATTGGTGGCCAAAAGGTATTTTTATTTGCTAAAGAAATCTCTGTAATGCAGTCGGTAATATGTGTAGATTGTAGTTTAAATAGTTTTGATATGTGGAACATTCGATAGTCACGTCATTGAAAGATAATAGTTGAAACTGTATCTCTATATCAATACAGGGTAAATATCCATGTGGTGAAAGGCGGAAGTTGTATTGTATCAGGTACAGGAACAGTCGCCCTTCTGTTCGTAAATAGTGGAGAAGTTACCATACAACATCCCCGGTATATATTGAACGAACGTTGTGGATGTTAGAGAACACACACAAAATCGATACTGTATTCATGTAACAAATATTTGATATTCAAGTATCAAATTTAACATGGTATAAATATGATCAATTCAGTAACAAATGGAAACAGTCTTGCCAGATATAAAACATGTTTCTGATCCACCATGCTGTGGATACATGCAAGCATTGTGTATTGACCCACACTAAGTACATATTAACCAAATCCAAGGCTCAATATTTAACATTATTGGGAAACTGTCATAAATAAGTTTCAATATATTTGCGTGTGACCTTTTAACGAATTAATCAATTGTATAACTAGATAAATAAGCAAGATTTATTGACATTTTTTGGCGCTTTTGGGTTAATGACGAAAGCAGTCAATTACTGACAATAATAAGCACATTGTCTGTGAATTATCATAACAAATGAGGCTAGCTAGTGCGATATAGACACCATGGGAGTTCATTAGACCTACAGGGATGTCTAGGTATCTTAGTATATAAATTGTATCAGCCATGTACTTAGTTACCTGTATATAATTTGTAACTCACCTTGCTATCAATACCAAAGACCAGGGTCCCAATACTTAGATAAATGGTTATTTTATCAATATAAAGGTCAAATGTATTGAACGAATATGTTTATATTTCGAGTTATATTGACATTCGATCAATTGTTAACATATACAATACTTTATGATTACATTCATTATTGTATATACACGTCCTCATACAATGTATTTGCAACTGATTTCAAAATGACATTTTGTCTCAAAAAGACTATATATGAATATGTTTAGGGAATGGTACAAGGTAAAATAACAACTAACCAAGGACATCCTCTTAGATATCTTAATATATTTATGCTATACTATACTCTGATACTCGGCAAGTGCTATGGATAATTTTCCTCAGTCAATAAAATTTCCAAGCAAACGGTCTTCCCAATTATACTGTTATATAACAGTGTTAAGTTAGGTCATTTTTACCTTTGGTATTTCATATGGCAAACCTGAAACTTGAAAACAGTCCCACCCTTTACCACGCAGAGACACTATACGCCACTGGTGAGTTTTACAAGCCGTCGAGATGGGATTTTAGAATTGCATCAAAACGCAATAGTCTTGCCTTATAATATCATGTTGTTCGTCGTTTATAAATGCGTTTACGAGAATGCATGTCTCAATAATGACAAAAATTATCGGAAACCATCCTTAAGTTTAGTGAACGTGATATAACACGACGGAAAAACAATTGTTTTTGAAACCGATTCAATTAACTGTAAAACACGAAACGTTCGTGGATACTTTCCTACGTGGTTTTGAAGCCATTTAAATCGTTTCGTGGTACAAACTTTCTTGTATATCCTGTATTAACAAACAGTATAGACATGTGTATCATTCAAATTCGTTGTATATTGTTTCGTGGTTTAATAGCAACCACGAAAACCACGAAAGTTTATGCACAACGAACATTTCATGTTATACAGTAACTGGGCAAAAGCGGTATCTCCTGCGTTTTTTGTCCCGATATTTTGGGAGTGTTTTTTCACCCAAAATGGAATGAAATGCTAAAGTCACTTGTAGTGATTGACATGAAGTTCTGTTTAAATACCAAATCATAAATTATAAGACGATTCATCGGTTGAGTAAGTCTTGAGAAAAGGCTAATTCTCATTGTCCGTTAATATGTATGTATGTTCGGTATTTTTATTTCAACAGAGGGAGTGTATATCTGGTGTTTAAAAGACTGTTTAAACTGGCGAATTTGCAGACATAGACATAAACAGTTTACCTACTAGTAACGGTAGGTATACGACCTAGAAAGGTGTTAAGCTGGAGTAGTTCATCACACAGACCGAGGTGTTCAACACGGATATTTGAGTTAGATATTTACATGGATACAACAACTACTTGTGGGCTGCGTAGTGATTGCAATGTGAAGTAAATATCAATCACCCGAGAGCTAGGTTGCTACGTAATCTAGAAGGATATATAATCTATAATGCCAAATAACCTTAATGTTTGTCTTCTGTTTAGGCAGGATAATTCAGCAGTATAATATGAAAACATGTTGATTGACGATAACTAGTATGTGTATGTTTTACAATAAATTACATTTTGAACATAATTATGATTGCCATTTCCCTACACCTGGATATCAAAAGTTGAAAAAAATCACATTGAAGATTATAGACTAGTTGCATAATCGCAATCATGATCTACTTTAAGTATTTCTTCTTTTTATGTTTTATGAATATTTAAGTTTTTATTACGCTTAATAGTGTTCCTTGTGGTTTCGTTGCCACTATCCCGTTTCTTCCTTTGGGAACATGGCATTACTCGGACTGACCTAGATAAACATGATGAGTGTTGTCAATGAAGCAGAGGCAGCTTCGCCTTCCAGAACACATGTTCTTATTCTAAATCCTATTGTTCGTATTTTTCACAGTTTCACAGATTTTGAGTTCGGATTACCGGTTTGTTTACTGTCTGCACTGGATTGTTTTCTTCATTAGTAGGAACGAGACCGGATTATATCAGAATGTTTTTTGGATTGTCACAATAATGTCAGCCGTCATTTGTTAACAGTTTCGGCGTGAAACCATTTCAAAGAGGGACCACGAATCTTATTGATGGATTTTTTCATGACTTTATACTATGGGAGAAGTATTTTTTGTAATGGTCTTTCAACCAACCTCATACCCGAGGAGATATATTTCCTTTAATGAGGTTTTATACAAGCTCATATCGGGCAAGATATTTATATTAAATAATTGGCACCAACACAACCTCATACCTTGGACGTGAAAGTGCAATAAATGTATTTTGTGTCAAATGAAATACACCATATCTAGTCTGACACTTCAAAGCAACAGTATTTATTGATGCAATCGATGAACAAATTTGTAGCATATTTTCCATTTTAACTTGAACACCATATGAAAATCCTGAGAACTGTTTTGTCAGCATATTTCATTAATAACTGTGATGTATCGTGGGATGATGTCTGTATTTGACGGTGTTCAATATTCCTTTGATGACAGTACATGTTAAAGGCGTACGCTTCCTAACTCTTATTAAATGTCAAGAATGTCACAAAGGCAGTATTCGTATAACGTTCCCTTCACCCTTGTGATAAGTGGTTAACTTTCACGAAATGTGATTGTCGCTCTCTTATCACGCGAGTAGTATACAGGCGAAGGTGTCTGTTATTCCATACAGGTACCCAATATACATGTCAAATTCGGGATTAAAGAACGTTTGGGGATTACGATCAATCCGGAACTGATCCCGTCCCTCCATGCCATCCTAGTAACGTTCGACGTTTCTAATATTATACTAGTAAAATGATAGTTACGTAACGTATGGGTTGTACCCGAGGCCAGCTCGACTAGTGCGTATGAATGTGTGGTACACATTTTACATTATCTGAGTGAATATACTGGAACATTTAAACCTTTTGAGCGACAGAACATGTCAATCTTAGCTTTCAATGGTGTGTGTCACACTTAAGAATCACCTGTAACACACACATAACGCCATGAGAGCTAAATTTCAACCGATAACATGTATTGTTTTTCGTGTGTCCTTTAAGTATATGAAAAACTACATTTTTGCATCATATTTTTTTTTATCAATTATTGAGAAAGGTATTTTTTCTCACAGAGAATCTACAGTCATATGGCATTCATTGTATAAACCAACAGAACCTGAGATTTAAAGTAAACACTAACTGTGTGAACGCGTAGCAGACCCTCCCACTGGGCCGAACAATTTGCTTCAATATTTACTTCTAATTATCATTAATGCCTTCTCAAATCACATTTGTAAATACGTCAATGGAATCAATCCACCGAGATCGACATCGGTAGCTTTGTTCCCCAAACGTATTCGTGATATCCAATATGGTTTATATGCTTTAGAAATGGTAAGTAGCTCGCGTGTCGACTTCTCTTGCTGAGCAGAGACCGAAATACTTAGATTTATTACTATGTGTACTTAATATGAATTTGGTGAGCATGCTCAATAGTTTAATGTTTTCATATTCACTTAAACGTTTGTTTCCTATAGAATTAAAATCTATTTCATACATTCACTGCCTATCACAAAGGAACTATCACTGTTCAAATGACACCGAACGTGCGTCAACGACTAGTATACCTATTAGAAAGGTATAATTCTAAATTAGCGTTATTTGTGTGAAGACTCATTGCTGTTTTCAAATTGCAGGTTCAATAAAAATGAAAAAACAAATCAATGTTTTGGAATATAAAGTATTATTCAGAGTATAATATTTTTTAAAGCATTACCAATTTCTATGAAGTTTAATGGTCGGCATGTGCGGATGCCGAAATTCCTACAAATACTCTTAAGATAGTTTCCAATTATTACGTAAAATGAATATTCAAACTTTTCTATTACCCTCAATGGTGGTAATTACACGTACACATTGAGTAAGAAATATTTCAATATGTACAAAATGAATATGTATAGGTTTACTTTACTCAACAGTGTTGATAATTATGTATACAAATTGAGTAAGTAGTGATCCATTGGGTTTATGTTTTTTGGTAGATTGTGTTTCGAATAAGACCGGGTTCGAATTACCTGGGACAATACTAACGGGTGATACACCTCTGTGTGCGCGTCTGAGGGGGTCAAGTTTGATCGAATGACAATTTAGCACCACCTACGGTAAGCTCTTGTTAGTCTGTTTCCTTTATCACATCTTAACATGTACTTTTCTATATATGTGGGGTCCCGCTGATCATAATGTTGTATATACATATTTCAAAACCTGCATTTATTTATGATGTAAATCTTTTGTACGTTTGTTTTCGGAGCATACAAATACAGTCTAATCTATGTGAGGGACCACCATATGAAGAAATCAATATCTGAAGTGATCACTATTTTTTCATCCCCACGAAGCAAGTAAGCATGTGTAATAACTATTTTATGACACAATCTTTGTAACGAGATCACATTTGAGCGTTCTCTAATATGGGATCTGATTTGAATCTGCAGCACGATCTCTTCAAAACTCTACCTGCACGCTTGAAATGCAATAAATGATCACTTTGTTTTGCTTTTTGGTTCGTTTTACCAATTATTTTGGATGATCCTTAAATTCGTATTTTTTTGTGATTATATTACATAATGATCTAAATAAGGAATAATGAGCTGAGTCCCAGATGTATGATACGTAAGTTAAATGTAACATAATACATGACAACATGAGGAGTGGGATCGAATGTGTTTATCAACTAAATGTGAATATATATGTGAAGATGGAAGATACGTGTGGATGATATGACGGTACCAAATTATGTCGTGTTTATATATTTACTATCATTATATAACATCGGGTCTGTTATATTAACTTAAATTAAAAAAAAAGCCATGCAATGTCAATTTCAAAAAATGTTACACATAGCTAACAATTAAACCATTGACATGCAATGTAAAGTCAAAGAAGTTACTTATACTGTTATAGTCAGTTACTAGGACATGCCATTAACTCAATAACAACTATGCATTCCGAAATAAGTAAAACAAAGTAAAACCAATTCTTACCCGGAGGCCACTGGATGATCCTGTCCGGTGCACTTTTGTATAGGGAGGGGTTTCCGACATCCCTGCCCCTGCTGACGGGGGCACTGGGCCCGTTAGTACTGATTTTTGGACCAAAATCCAAATTAAGGCCATGCCCGTTGTCCTTCCTCTGTCCCATGCTGGAGGATCCACGGATGTTGAGATCCCCTTTATTTCCTAATTTGGACATAGGATGTTCAATGACGGGTAGGTTAGGGGTCTTCATTCCCTTATGGGGAGATCCTGGGACCCGAGGGACAGCGGCTACTCCACTAGCCATTGTGAGATCCTTTAAACTAGAAGTTTAAATGTCAGAATAAACGAATATAAGAAATACACACTCTGTAAAAAATAGAGTTTAAAATCCGTTCGCAATGTCAAATCTTCAAATCGGAGATGCTACACCTGACTATATCCACAGATGTTACAATCTGCGGATCACTTCACGGTGTACCCCCTCCCAACGGAACCACCATTTCTCCCCCTCCCGGTTCCTGCTATGTAAACAGTAAGCAATGATCACAGAAGGTGTCGAGACGTCCTAGGCTCGTCCGCCATTAGTGTACATAATCTCTAAGGGTAACCGCGCGAGACGACAGGTACGGATCGACCACCGTACAGGGCTATCACATGATCACAGCCATTCAGTAAAGTTGTTCGGAGGTTGCTAGAAGTCTATGTGTATATATATGTATATGTATAATCGCACACGGGGTAAATGATTTAAATCGTTCGCGATAAAATATATACTCGTTGAAAGAATTCGTATGTGAGCTAATCAAAACAAATGTATTGAAAATTGCCCCTGCTATATAGCATATAATTGAACGTATTAGATAAAGGACTTAGTTTATTATAATACGGTAACTAGTCTTTCTCTTGTCCCGATATTCAATACCCCAAATCCCTCCTTTCTAAAGGTTTTATGTTTTGAGACGTGTTCACAACAATATCTCAGCGTATAGTGTAATATCCCAACTCCTCACTGACAAATATGTCGAGTCTAATACAGTTAAAAGAAAAGCAATCATGCGTCCGTAGCGCAACACATTCAGATCTGTTCGTTAGTGCATATATTTTTGTATTAATTATCATAGCTGACAATTTCTAATTGGACAGATATATTAGTTATCACCATAAAAACATACATGTTATTACCTTTAAATATCACAATAGGTTTAAATAGAAATAAACTCTGGCTGACATGTTCAGGAAGTTAAATGAATCTTGTAATAAGCTTCATTTTGGGGCCATTTGTTTGAAAAAGTGATCAGTTTAAAGTTTAATTCCCTTAGACGTCTTTTTGTATCCGTTTCAGACACAACATACGTCTGTATCCACTTGGACGAATACATACTGAAAGGATTGCAAAGAACCGAATCCGTCATCAATGAGTACGACTACTTTTGAAGTTAAAATAATTTTGATTTTGCAAATTCCATAAAAGAATACCTAAACATACAACAAAGGTTTCTAAATGAATTAGCACCGTTTCCAAAACTAAACCGTGAACAGAGCTGACGGTAACACCACACCGCGGTGACTTGTCAAAAGTTCTGTCACTCGGCCAGATCGAGCTTTAGCATGTCGACCTGTATTATGTCGCACCTGTTGTTATACGTGTATACCTGGTCAGATGGTGATGTGTGATTTAGCATAAAGCTGTAGTCTATACTTGGCAGGTTTGGGCACTCCGTATCAACAGTATACACTTCTTAGATAGGATCGCCTGTGTTTCTATGGACGTTTCAAATGTTTTAGAGAACAGATAATTCTGAATGGTTTTACTACGAGTCATTCGTATGTTATTCTGCAAAAAAGTGTCTTCGTGGTACCATGGTTAAGAAAAGTACACATCCATTATTTCAACACTCCACGACATTGCTCTGACATTTAAATGAACGATGAAGACTACGTATTTTCGTCTAAAATATGAGAAGTTATTACATGACAAAGCTATCTTTAACAAGTAACAAAAAGTGAATGTGAAAAGGACACGAACGCCAGACAAATCATACACTTAACCTGTCTTGTGATCGTTCGACTAGACCAACTATTGGAATAAAATAATGATAAAAAATGAACTATAAAAAGAGGCTACATTTCAACTTAAAAATGACCAATGTAAAAATCAGTATCCTTACGTTATTCTGAACATTGTCCCAGGAAAGTCCGAGGAAGGACCCCGTCCGATCCTCGGCAACACAGCGACCATGGCGGAAATGACGTCGAAAATGATGTCTTGTGTTACATCTGTCATCATTATATCAATTAATTGGATTTAAATCAAGTGAAGAAAAAACACCTGATATCGAATATCAATCTACCTGTATCGGGTATTGAATGTATCCGATTTCATACTAGTTACGACAACAGTCCAACAAACCAGTGTAACATACACCATACTTAATTAAAAAAAACCACCCAACTATAGCAGAACCCCGCAATCCATGATTTATTAAGATAAAACTTATTTTTTTCTATATGGAATGTTGTTACATTTATCGTCATACTTGTGCAGATGGTTGGCATGCAGGTGCAGCAGGTTTTAACTAGAGTCGTTGTCTGTTTTCTTCTGTCCATTACTGAGCTCTTCATGTCCGGATACCAATACACCAATGTCATGTCTTCACGCACGTTAAATATGCTGAATAGAGTGGAAACCAGAGAAGACCAATTCCACTTCAAAAGTGCTTATTTCGTTAAAACAAACCATCTGATATCTGATGCATTACTTGATACTATTGTGTTATAAGTTCGTTAGATACATGGGGCATTCGCCATTTCATCATCGCTGAAGAATAATTCATGTTAATACTAACATCGAGGAATTTCTTTAACATTTCGGCGTAGATGACCATGGAAAGTACAGTTTTAGATCTCATAAGCGGTACATAAGGCCAAAAGATTCAAAGGTCATACCGAAATATTTCCGTAAAATGTACAAATACAGCACAAGGGGAAATGTGTTAGTTTATCGAGACAAAATGCATGTGTACTGTGTCTTAGATGATTGTTGACGCATGCCCGTTCACACGTGCCACATGTGGCACAGGAAATGCGTACCTTCCCGGTACACGTAGTTTCATTTGCCTTGTATTCAGATTTTGCCATTGTGTATCGATACTATGGTGTTTCCCGATGTGTGGAATCAATGCTACAACATGATTGACAATGTTAATTGTATCACTTTTCGACGATCAAACGATATTCTACCCTTTCATATAATAGATATGGTAGGCTATGTAAAAAGAAACAGTGTCCTTTTATACAATGACTGATGAATAGGCAGGCTAAACACACTATTACACAAAATAGATAAAACCGATAGATTTCAAACACCTAATAGATTAATGAAATACCTTGACAACCAATTAATTAATACTAGGGCGGACTTTAAAGCTCTTTATCATATGATAAACATTGATATGGCGAGTGGGGATCTTTCCGACTATGTGATAAATATCAATGGTTTCATATGAAACTTAATAAAGCTTGCCAACATAGTATCACTAACTAAACCACACATTTTATAAAAAAAATATTATAAAAAACTGTTAATATTTTAACAAAAGGTGGAAATCATTCGGGATGAAATGGGTGTACTTAATACAAGAAATGAAAAAAATGTTCCTCAATTCAGACATTTAAGAAAATTCCGTAAACGATTTCTTTGGCTTACAACACTTTTGCTCAACTTAAATGTAAACTTTATTTTATTTCACAACAAAAATGAAACAAGTTATTTCAACTTATATTAATCACTCTTGTTTACCCGGATGTTAGCACGTGGGGTCTAAGTGTGGGAGGAAACCGGAGTACCCGGAGAAAACCCACGTGTCGGGCAGGTGACCAATACCTTTTCACGTTCGATCGGAATATCGAACCCGGCCGCCTTGGTGAAAGGCAAGTGCGCTATCCACTGCACCACCGATCACTTCAATCTTTCAGCGTAACATTTTAGATAAGACGGCTGTTTTTTCTTCAACTTTCGTTGTCTATACACGTGATGATGACGTCAAACTTCAAACATTGTATTTGATAACAGCATGTATTGTCAGAGACTATACATGACACTGCAAAAAAAATGCACCTCCTTTTGAACGTAATACATTTAAAAGCAATCAAAGCCCCTGTGATTAATGTCATGACATCCCCTGATGTGACAATCTGTGACAGATTGTCGGGTTATCGGCTTTGAAGGTGTAAGATTTTTACTGAAAGTTTGACTGATAGAAATAAACCGTTTAACCTTAAACAAGTCTCGTTTCCGTAAATTAAATGTTCTGGAAATATGTTCCCGTAGATTTAAAAAGATAAGTTTTTATACTTGGCATTTAAATTGTTTGTCAATATGAACTTGGGGTAATCAATGTAAAAAATATGTTTGCAAGATTGCACTAAGATACAACAAACTGAATACAGCATAAGCAGTTCACACCCATAGGGATAACATTACTATCAAATTATGTTATTTATTAATGTTGAGATGAAGAGTTTCCATATTTTATTTCATATCATACTGTCAGTTATTTTGTCTTATGTATTGTACACTTCGTTTAGGGTATATTCCCTTTTTCTTCAGTACCTTTTGTATTTCTCCCTTTCAATTTCCACATCAGCATCTTGTTAAAAAAGCAATGTCTTATGATTAATCAAAATAATACTGTTTGATAATTTCCACTTTATTTCTTTACAATTTTTAAATGTAACTATATCTGATCTTAATGATATGTGAATAAATATCACCATATTTTCAACATAACTCATATTAATTAGGTTTGTTTTGTGTTTTACGTCCTATTAACAGTTATGGTCATTTAAGGACGTGCCAAGTTTCGGTGGTGGAGGAAAGCCGGAGTTCCCGAAGAAAAACCTCCGACCTGCGTTCAGTGTCTGGTGACCGCCCCACATAGGTCTCGAACCTGCGACCCAGTGGTGAATGGCTATAGTGATCAAAATGGTCACACCTCATGTTATATATGCATTTTACTTATTATAGATAATAAATACTTCCTCAATGTGCAGTGTTGAGTTGATATTAGAACATTTTAAAAATAATTATGTGTCTTTTGGAATAGAATGTTCGTCCAATACCAAATATACGTGTATTTGGTTTTATAAGAAGACTAGGCCAGACAATGTTCTTAAAACTATTCATACTGGGTTTTTATTAATATGTATATGATATATACTGAGGGTGTTTGTATGAGCATTGGCGACTGGTTCCGCATGACTTGGCATCTTACACACCGTACGAGTCCTGAATACCCTGACGGGCGTACTTTAGTGTTCAGACAAATTGACACGTCCTGCCCAATCTACATTGTTTATTAGGTGATAGCAAGTTAAATTTGTCAAGCTTTGTCAGCTTAACATAACAACGTAAACAATGTATCTGTAGTGTGTTTAATATGTATAAATTTAAATTTTTAAATTTTAATGTATTTAAATAGTTATCAATGTCATAAGCAGTCAGTCCTACCCCCCCCCCCCCCCTTTCGCCTCCCAACCAACCAACCAAATAAAAAAAAGAGTTTGATTGTTTATCAGAATTTCATATTCAGATTGTCTTGATCTTTCATTTACCCGGTTAAATTTTATGTAATCCTTGCAACACTATAAGCATAAGATAAACATAAGCCATTAACATAAAGATTGGACCAGTAATTGTTATAGTTTGAATATTGAAAATGAAAAGAATTATACTTTATTTATCACAACCAGTATCAACTTTTTTTTGGAACGTTTGAAAAAAGGAAAGAAAATAGTCAACCTGACAAAAATAAATCTTGTTTAAAAAGTTTAAAACACTTGAAAGTTCTCAATCTTAATTTTAGGGTGTGAATTTAACGTCCACGTTGATACCGGAATGTGCTATTTGACTGAAGTGGTGGTCGTTGAAAAAGTCTGGTGCTTTAATGCTATTTAAAAGGTTTGTACACTGCTTATCTAAGTGTGTTTCGTACCACAGTACCTAGAGTTACGACTAATCACACAAAGAGGATTGATTTGCCCAAGTACAATGTATAACGAAGTTCCATGCTTTGGTTATGAAAATGCGGATTCCGTCTTTGCGTCTTGCAGAGTTATCTTCTCTTGGAAGCAGGTATTGATTGTTACGTCACTTGTTTGTGAGAGTAACGTCATCAACTTTTGAGAAAACGACGTAATTGTCTCACACAAACCAATGATGTAACGATCAACACCTGCTCCGAAGAGAAGATAACTCTGCAAGACGCAAAGACGGAATACTGGAACAAAGACATGTGTGCCTATAGAAAATTTCGCGATTTCACATGGCTGACAATGGTGTGTATATTTTCAATTATCTTTGATCGGCGAGGGCCTACATTCAGTGAAACAAGTGTTCGTTATCGNGTGTCTGAGTGTTGGAAATAAAATCTGAAATCTGAAATCTGAAATCTTATCGTCACCATTATTGAGAGGAAATATTACATCGATATGAATGATGTAACTTCAGTTCAAAGGGTAGCGACGTACCATGTTAAGCATTAAGTAATTAAATAACATTGACAATGTCATTCCGCATTGGATACAAACTTTTATACCTCCACGAATACGCTATTTCGTGCAGATTTAATTGGTTAACGAGTTATTTTGATTTTACAGAAATCGTAAAATCATGTATCATGATATACGAGTACGTTGTATCTGGTAATCGTATTATGTTTTATTATGTAATTCAATGTAATCATGGCGCTATATATAACAATGGGATTAATACAACGCATAGAACATATATGTATCGGTTGTCTTCCCTTTTTCCCGAGTCTCTTTTGTGGTCTTATACTGAGTAATACACAACTGTCTCGCTGATATAACAGCACCGTATGGGCCAACCATCATGAGGTCGAATCCAGCAAAATACGCCAGGCTTCAAAACATATGGGGAGCAGGTCTTTCATCGCGGCAGATATTCCGTCTATTGCAGAGTTATCTTCTCTTGGGAGCAGGTATTGATTGTTACGTCATTGGTTTATGCGAGAAAATTACGTCGTTTTCTCAAAAATTGATGACGTTACTCTCACAAACAAGTGACGTAACAATCAATGCCTGCGCCCATGAGAAGATAACTCTGCAATACGAAAAGACGGAATTGAACTCGCACCAATTGAAATAAGGCGACTATGATATTTATACAATGTAAGTTAAGTGTTCTCTAGTAGTAAACAAAGGCAACTAATATTGGTCATCAGTAGAGAAGTAAGATACGTAAGTGTCCGGAGTAACCATCTCAAGCAGTGTTTATAATTTACTACTGGGGAAATTTACACGTAATGATAATAAAAATGACGTTGTCGTTTGTCGTAATGTAGTGTAGTGATGCGGACATTATTTCGTATCTTAGGTAAATGTGGATATGTGAAGCCGAATCAAAACAGTTTGTGGTGTCTAAGTTTTAACTTCCAGAGGATTAGAGAAACAAGGAAATTGCTATTGTTTGAGCGCAAAATAAACGAGTAACCAATCCATTCGAATGCTGATTAAAAGCTTCAATTATGAACTTTGATTTTTCTTTTTACTTGATAAACAATATAGATAATTAACAAAATAAAACAAATTTATTGCTAAAAAAAGTATACATGAAGCTATACTTAATTTTCTAAAATCATCAATTCAAACATCCTCACAAACACTTGCATATTTTGAATAAAAAACAAAACAATGAACTATATGTTATTATAAAAGAATGTTTAATAAGTTTTAGTCTTTTTTAATGCTTTCACATACACCTCTAGATCTGTACATGTGTTATATTGTAGGTCAGCGTTAATTCTCAATTACTCTAGATCAATGTTTAATATAATTCACTCGAGATCAGTTATTATTATCATCAAAAATTCCATGACATTTCTCCTCACAGTTAATCATTGTTTATCTCCCTTCAATCAAAAATGAAAGGGAAAAAGAAAGAAGATAGACCATTGTTATTTCTCACAGTAACACTCCTTTCATATTCACTCTCGACCAGTTTTCATTCTTACATTAAACCACAGGTATTGTAAATCACTCTATATACTAACGGTGACTGTTTCACTAGGATTTCAGTTCGTGAAAGAAACAGTACCATATGAATTTTTCGCAAAATGTCACTCTACATATTTATTGCCCTTGCGATTTGAAAACACGATTCTTTATTTTCTCTGGGATTAATGATGTTATACGAGGACAAAGAATCGTGTTTTCAATCCATATTTTATGATACCGAAATAGAACAATAACACAACAGTAATATTGAACAGACTTCCGTCACATCGTTGTCGTCTGCTTCAGTCACTTGGAACACAAGTGTTGTGGATCAAGCGAATATTTCTAGTGAGGCTTTGAAGATGGAAAATCTGATCGGGGAAACTCGAGCGCGTGAGATCACACGATGTTTTTGTTCTCGTCACATGACAAATTCTATCTAATCAGATACGCCGTTATATAGATGAGGTTTGATAATACCTATCCTTGTATTCAGCTGAGGGCGTTATGATAGTCTATATCGTCTAGTGTTGCCGAGGAAACGATAGAGGCCGAGTAGGAGATTAGTTTTAAAAGTCAAGATTTTTAATTTTGAGTTATTAACAAAACACGACGATTTTTACAATCGAATAGCTGAGTTGCTTGAGAGCGATAAAAGTGATGACGTAATTGTTTGATCACTGTGCCCATCATACCGATACATAAGTACCTGTACATCCGGTTCTGATATATGTACTATAAAAATCAAAGAGGGTAGTAGCGGAAGGGACAGTGTTATCTCTTCAGTGTGATATAAGGTCTATATATTTTTCGTCCCCCCCGCCTTTTGCAGACCTTGTATTAAATTCTCTATAAGTGATATGCAGTAATTCTGATACAACTTTACGACAAATCTATAACGTAAATAAGTTGATGTTGATACACTTTAAATTATCGTTACTAAATGTAACACAAGAGGTAGCTTATGCATTTCAAAGTTGGACAGCTACATGGTTTTCATCATCTTTTAAATCCCTGAAAACAGCACTCTCCTAATGGTTCAATTTGGTCGACGATTTTCTGTATAATATAGATGTTCCCTGAGAAAACAATCTGTTTTGATAAGTTTGATGTCCGATGTATGGACTAATGTAATTATACAAGTAAACAACATAGATACTCATAGATATAATGTTACTAATCATAACCAGTTACACGTATATCCCAGAGTTAGAATTGTTATCAGACGGTTTCACGAAACAATATATTCTAGAACAAGTGAGATCCTTGGGGCATACACAATTAATTTAGGAATGAAAAACTATTGATAAGGATCAGGATTAAGAAAAGTATATGTAACAAAAACAACATAAAAAACGAGATTCTAGAATAGGTTATATAAAAAATTCTGGTTAAACAAAAGTTATTTGAATATCGATAGCATGTAATTATTATCAATATAATTTACCCAAAAAGTACGGTGCCCTTGATGTATCTGCGTAGGTCTATGTCAACTGAATAGGAATGCAATCACAAATCGCCAGACTGTTAAAACTGTCATCATACGTAAATCCACAATAAGAATGACAAGAAGTAATTTCCTGAAATATAATGTTTTAAGTTTCAATCGAGATTCATTTCCCAAGCTATTCATAAGTAATCCTGATACATTTTCGAAACATTACGGTTCCGTTCTCGCTAAACAAATCTTCTCTTATCTTCTTGAATATGACATGACAAAATGGAAGGCTCTGCAAGCGGAACGGTAAAGTCGACAGATTTGAAGTTGAGTTTATCTCCTCTGTAATCTTCAAAGAACATTTATTAGTCTAGCGACTGGTCGTATTTTTATACCTGAAACCATACCTGAAACCAACCTAATAGATTATTGCAAGCCTTCGATTTCGTAAGTCCATATTCTAAGGGTGAAGAGAAGATTTACATGTATGTATCGAGAACTGAACCGTTGGATTTCGAAGACGATCAATATGACATTACAAAGTATTCGGGATTACACATTTTAAAGCCAAAAAAATGGACGATTCTACACTGAAAATTGTAATTTCTATTAATCTTCACTGAATATTTTTAAACATCAGATGGTGGAATATTTAGAATCCATCAGGGCTTGCTTTTTTTCGGTAATCACTGCATCCGGATATACTTTTTTCTGCGTTCTTTAATACACCCTGCACTATACACCCGGCAGAGGCGTTCATCGTCATGTTGTGTCCCTTCTGACGGAGGCCAGCTAGTACATCCTGTAACACAGGTAACATACTGTTCAAATCTTGACACTAAAATTACGAACAAAACAATCGAAAGAGAAAGACAAAAAGAAAGAAAGAAAGAAAAAGAATGCACTTTATAAAAGACAAAACAATAGTATGCAGTCAAGACCGCTTTGAGTGGTACTAGAGGGAAGTACATATGTATCAATAAAACTTTAGAAACAGATTTGGACCAAAAGAGGAAAACGTGTCATTAGTCGAGACAAACCATTTCAAAACATATTACGAACAAGTAAAGAAAAAAGGCAAAAATGTTTGCTGGAAATTGACACCAGGGGAGAAAACTCGAGAATATACCGAACAAATGAATAAGACCAGCGAAAAAAATAGAAAAAAATAAAATGTCACCTCGTCGAAGCCAATTTCCACGGCGATCTCCTTAGGTAGAAGCTGGTGATGTAATCGTCTGTGATCTATGGCCTCCTTCATGGACATTCCAAACCACAGAGTCTCTATCGATGTCTATAACAGAGGACGAACAATGAAACAGCGATCACTCGGAATAATCCACAGGGACCTAAGAATTTGTTACAGCTATATTTGGACCTTAACTAAAGTGTTCAGAGTAATGTTACATGTTTTAGGGGTTTAGATCGACTTTCGGTAAAAATGACGCCCCCCAATGATCATATGATCATTGGGGTGTCAATTTTACCGAAATGATAATTGGGGGTGTCATTTTTACCGAAAGTCAATCTAAACCCCAAACCAAGTATAATTACTATAAACACCTTAGTTAAGGTCCACATAAAGCTGTAACAAATTCTCAGGTCCCTGTGGAATAATCCACAACCTCGATCATCCAGGGGGTACGCTTACTTACGGTCTCTGCACCCCTGGAATATGTTATAGCAAATTTAAGGCTCAGTGTGGGCCACGTTGTTGATGGGACAATTTTGATTTAAACATATTTTATTGCAAATAAATATTTACAAAAGAATTGGACACAAGTTTTCACAACTTATCACAGTCCTTTTCTTCAAATACACGAATATAAACAATAACTTGATAAGGTAATTTACGCAATATATATCTATTATGTTTGTATATGGAAATAGAAAATAGAGAGGAAGAAAAGACGGATAGAGTAACGAAGTAAAGGATAGTAACACAGGTAGAGTCGGAGAAAAAAGAGTAATAGAGAGAGAAAGATGATCACATTCAGCCAAACCTGTTGCATTTTCTGATATAATTTTGGACAGATTTTGCAATTGAGGTATTTTCATCATTGCTGAATTTAGGATCGCCATATAGGAGCAAGTTAAAAGTTATATCATCAAGAAAAGGTTGTAGCTCTCTTATTAATAGATTACGATGCAGGGTGTATAGGGGACAGACACAGTGGAAGTGATATGAGTCTTCACATGGATTACCGCACGCACATTTAGCTATATTAGACAAATTTGTTCTAAATAGGTCATAGTTAAGAGAGCTTGCACGGTTTCTCAAACGGCTGAAGTATATTTGATTTACGGGAAACCCATACCAGAAAGCATTTATTATGTAGTTTACCTTTTGATTTTATATTTGTTTTAAATGAACTGAGAGAAGCCGAATTCCTTATAGATATATCTAGGTCATTCCACATTTTTGTAGTTGATGGGGAAAAAAGAATTGCGCATTGTTTCAAGCCTAAAGTTTGGTTGTCTTAAATGTTGGGAATTTCTTAGGTTATAATGATACATATCCCCAATGCTATCTGGTATGATGTTACACAAATAATTTGGAGCTGTACCGTTTTTAATTGTAAAGAATAGAGACAATTTTCTGTTTTTCCTTCTATTAATTAGTGGAACCCAGGCAATTTCATTAAAAATATGTTCAATTTTTGAGTGTACGGGTAGTCCTGTAACAATTCATGCAGCGTCGTCCTGAATATTTTCCAGTTTGAGACATGAGTATGAGACAAAAAGACTAGTTCGATACTTTGACGTACATCAAAAGAATCTCGCGGTCACGTAACGGTAAAAATTGTCAGGCTTTGAAGTTGGGTGTCACTCCTTTGTAATCTTTTAAGGACGGGTATCAGCCTAGCCTAGCGATTGGTCAGGTGTTTTTTTTTACCTGAGACAAATCAAACAGCTATCTTCGTGCCTTCAATATTGTCCAGAGGTGCAGAGAGCAAAAGTGAGCGTAACGGCTGGAGTATCGAGAATGGTGATTGATAAGCCTGGTATAATTTAACCATTTACACCTTCCCGATCTTGAATTAATAAAAAAATATCATGTTTTTGTGTAGATAATCAAAATTGTGAGGTGTTTGATTTTAGTTCGATATTATGACACAATAAGCTTGATACAAACTATTAAGATATCAGTTATGTGACTCGAGCAAATATATAATGACGTCATAATGATGTGTAGCTTTGTTACAAGCTCTGTGAGTGGTTAATAGGTGCCACCATTTGTGACCGAGTAACGGCTGTTCTTTTAAAATTATTCCAATATCATTTCTCAATAAGCCTTTTTAGATTGAATGTTTGAAAATATACAAGTTTAAACGAGTAGAGTGCACTATCTCAAAGTAGGGACACGTTCTATCGTCTGCTGTATCCCAATATCAATCTGAAAAGCTTGAACTATCAAGGTATGGGTAGGTCTATGTATTTCGCTGTTTCGATGTCTCACATTGGTGTGCACTCTGATGAAAATAGTATAAGGAATTAATCAAGGTGCTACGGTGGTTCATGAAGGATTTAAGAAAAAAGATCCACGTACATGTGTTCATCAAGTCGAAAATCCATATCCAATCCTAATCCATACATGAGCATGTCTTGCTATTCAGAAATAGCCCCCCCCCCCCAAAAAAAAAATAAACCCCGAACATGAATCATGTTATGTTAGTTATAATATTGTTCCAATTGATATTCACCAGAGCTGTTGAAGTCGTAATTTTTGTACCCCCAGCGGCGCCGATGACGAGTTTGACGTCACCGTTACTGTCCGTGATGATGCTGGGACACATGGATGACAGGGGGCGCTTGTAAGGTTTGATGAAATTAGCCGGTGAAGCTGGTACTCCAAAATAATTTACGGTGTTAGGTGTGGAAAAATCGTCCATCTCGTCGTTGAACAGGATGCCCGTTCTACTGCCAACTTCTTTCGAGCCAAAACTGAAAATTGGTACATACAGCGTGCAATCATTGCTATGGAACATTTAAGGTGATGAATTCATTTGGTTTCAGTCATGGAAGAGTTATTTCCCTTCCCATGCGATTTCACAGTCAATAAATACAGTTATATATTTTTTGTTTAACTTTCGAACATTTGAAAACGTATCCATCCACCATTTTCATGGTTTGGTTTAATTTTGTTTAACGTCCTATTAACAGCTATGGTCATTTAAGGACGTGTCCATCATTTACATGATACTGATAAATTTGGCAAACAGGCAATGGGTTAGTTTCAGCATATAATGTTTACACTAATTTAATAATTCGTTTCAAATGTTTTATTGGTTTATAATATAATAGTTCCTAAGTGCTTCATTATTTCCGTTAGTTGTTCCATAGCCATCTAAGCTTCAAACAGCCGGGCCCCGGAGATAAGTTTATACTTACTGTAAGTTGACGGTACTGGTAATTGACACAGCGTCTCCGTTAGGGGTCAACACGGACAGGTGAGAAGTACCGGCATCGTTGTTCACGTAGAACGTCGGACCATAGAACGGCGTGTCATGTGTCCGATCGTCCGTTATTTGCTGTCGGATACTTTCACTGTAGGCGGCAGACGTCATATTCCGGATTAGCTGGAACCAGGAACATAGTTACTTAGCAACTTAAGACAAAGATGAATGTAATTCCTGCAAAAAGGAGACGGTCTGTATTTTGGTTAAAACATTTTGAGGCTTATACATGTATGCTTGTTGGAATTTTACTAAATATACTTCCGGCCAGGACGCTATTCATTCACGTGATTGCGTCCACTTCACTGGTACTCATTTATACAACTGATTAGACTGGATCAATGAGCGTGCAGAGTGTTTTCGTCATGGGTTTCATATTCATAGTGTTTTAGTATCGGTATAACACGACTCTATACCTGCTATGTTTACGTGTGTTTTATTACATACTAATTAAGTGGTGATTGTTTACCTGAATTTACCAAGATTTTATTTTCATTTGATTAAAATGTTTTTATTTCACTTGAAGAATGCTTCTTTCACTAAGATTGGTTCGTTATTTGTGTATTTTTATCCACGAAGCGGCAATTCCTTTAAAGTCAGTAGGCTCACATTTATATTTGCACGGATAGGTTAGGTTAGTAGAATCAGAGCGCAATCCAGGTGGTATAGGTGGAATAAACAACAGAATAATAGTAAATATGTAAATAAATAAATAGTAAGCAAATAAAACATGTCCTAGCGTCAACATGGAAGTACAAGATCAAAATTCAAATAAGATACAGAAAGAAAAAGGAAATGGGGAGATAAAAAACGCAGGCGAATACCAGGTGTTTCGGAAGTGTAAGCGTTTCTCGTACCATCATTACCTATTCTGTAAATCTCAGCAAAGTGCTATCAAAGTATATAGACCCATACCTCCTCAAGCTCCATCTTAAACGTGGCGTTCTCGACGTCGGAGTCACCGATTTGGGTCCTCTTGCCATACGCAAACTTGAATGCCTCTACGATTCTGTGCCATGCGAGTACTTTCTTTTCGCGAGAGGACAGACTATCCTCATCGAAGTTGTAACCTTGCAAGGATAATCAGAAAAGAACATGTTCAATAAAATTTTATTCAGGATCATAAGCGATTATAATGCTACATTTGTCTTTTTTCTAAATTAGTCAATCTCAATCTTATTATACAGTATCACCTTTAAACATCGTTAATATACATCAACTTACAATACCTGTATCAGACAGCGCGTTGAAATGAGAAAGAGTTACTCAATAATAAAAAAGTATAATTTTCTATTCCACAATTGTCTTTTCCTTATAACCTTACTTTTATATCTTACACAATATTGAATTATTTTGATCTTTTAGTTAGCTTATGCTCCATACATTTTATAGATTAATGATGATAGGCTAGTGATAGAATATATATTATGTTTAACTTTTAATTAAGAGCAGGCTTTTACACGGATCAGTTTTAAATGTGCCTAATCTCATTGCTTTTCAGCATTAAAATACATTTAAACTAGTGCATTTATACCATTATTGAAAAAGTGATATTTACGAGTAGCGCTAAATTTCGTCATATTTTCTTGGTATTTGGATTACGCCTCTTACCATCTAGAATACCGAGAATGAATTCATACACAGCTCCGCCAGAGGGCGGCGGTGGTGAATGAACTGTGTATCTGTCATGTATGGTGATTTCGAGGGGTTCCTTGACTGCTGCCGTGTACATTCGGAGGTCCTCTTCCGTTATAATACCACCTTAACGTAAATGGAGACCATATGCTTAACTGTGATAAACAGATATAATCATCTACCAAGAAAAATAAATACAATTTGCTATAGTAATACAAAACCATAGTATATAGGTGAAGGAACATTAGATAATTTGCCCTGTTGTAGCTCACTGCATGATCGTATTAGGCGACTAAAGGTAACATACACGAAAGATTGGGTTTGTGTCTGCTACTGCAAATTGAACACCTCGGAAAAGAAAAAAAGAAACAATCTGCTGTTCTAATAATCAAAATGATGATATCAAAATTGTAGCATTATTATGAAATTTTGTGTAGAGTTACATCATTATTACGGCTTTATATTGGCAATTACTAAGACGAAACTCCAAAACAAATAACAAACAATGAAGGAACAACAAACGAACCAGTCAAAAAAACCGAAAGAAAACAGCATAACTCAAGCAAGCAAACAAACAAAGGCAAATTACATACTTATCTGTAGAACATGAGCCACCATTATGTTTGCGATACGGAAAATGTATACAACAGAATTTGTGAAACTATAAAATTAATTATGAGAAGACGATAATACGTATGACCTATTCTATCAATCATGTAACCTGTTTTGACGGATGATCTTACCTGCTTCCTGTATGTCCTTAACTATGTCTGCTGTGAGACTCCCGTTGTAGAAGGCGTCTGGTCCCTCTCTTGCGATGGCTTCAAGAGTGGCAGCAAGTTTGGGAAGGTACATTACCTCCCCTTCCTTCAGGAGCTCTCCTGTCTGGGGATTCGACACCATCGCCCTATGAACAGTGATAACATGAGTTTAGTTTAGTATCTATATGGTGAGTACTTGGAAATAGCACACGTTTCGAAATAGCACAAGTGTCAGATGCCGAGTTAATTTTATAATTTCATCCTTTTTTCAATCAAAGTTTGAGATAGCAAACAGACAGTTATTTCTCCAATATCTTAACTGTCCGTTGACTGTTACGTTATGAAACTACGAATACCCGAAAACAATACACACTTGAGGTTAGGATGATCCGGGTAATATTTCTGTTGGGCTGTTATGTGAAACCCAAGGCTGGAACCTATGATGAAACCGTTCCTACAGAGATCAATAGTTGGCTGAAAGAGTTCCGCCCAGGGTAGATTTCCCGCCAATTTCCACGCTTCCCAAAATCCCTTGATTTCTCCTGGAATACCTACACTTAATCCTCCTTTTATTTGGAATTAAAGAAACGGATTTAATTACATGTATCAGATAAAACAAAATGAAATAAAAAGTTCATGCATTTTATTTTATGATACAAAAACAATTTGATTTTGTCAACTAGAACGTCAAAGTTAATATGTCAGTACCAGTTTACAAATGACAAGTACACTATTAAGTAAGTTTCGTTGATCGTTGATAAGGTATGAACATTTCAGAGCCAACATTGGTCCGATTTAGATATCATTAAATGTGTAGTTTACAGGACACATGTTGGCAGTATAACGAGGTGTCATTGTACAGTTTACGTCATGCGTACCTTCTCGTGACGACACGCCCGATAAAAACATGGTGGCGTTGGCCGCTCCAGGGGCCATCTCACGGCCCATTACTGCATACGATTTCCCTTGACTCCTGTACAACCATTGATACAGCATTGAAACGAGTTACAATGTATAGGGAGTGTGAGTTGTCTAACAATACTAAACAAAAATGGTTGTTTTCTACCACATATATCGAATGTAATATACAGATAATATTCGTTGTTTTGCCGGACATATAACCTTAGTTGTTGATGAAAACTGCACAGGAAATGTATTAATATAAACTGTTCTTACTTTCAATTCTAAATACTGAAAGTAGTAAGTCCATGAAATGTGTTGGAATTGTCTCCCCTTACACTTCTAATAATTGTTATTCAACCTCTTGTATCAACATTTAGTGTATACCTCTCTTGGTAAGGAGATAAAGTCTAAGCAGAGTAACATTCCTCTTTAAATATATAATCAGACTTCTTTCAAAGTAACAGTTTTGTACTTTATTTTGTACTGAAAAGGTCCGGTTTGTGAAGATGCCCATCACCTTCGCTCTCTGCACCCCTGGGATATGTCATAGCAAAATTGAAGGCTCGGTGTGCGACACCTTGTTGATGAGACAAGAAGACCAGCTCGATCCTTTGATGTACAACAAAAGAATTTCGCGGTCACGTAATGGTACTCATTGATATGCTTTGAAGTCGGATGTCGCTCCTTTGTAATCTTCAAAGGACAGGTATCAGCTTAGCGATTGGTCAGGTTTTTTTCACCCGAGACCAATCAAGCAGCTATCTTTTTGCTTTCAATTTTGCTATGACATATTCTAGGGGTACAGAGAGCAAAAGTAAACGGAACGCCTAGAGTATCGAGGATGGAAGATGCCGTGATCGGATGGAACATACCTATCGTAGACGGTCATGAAGTGTTTTAGATGGAACATACCTATCGTAGACGGTTATGCAGTGTTTCGGGTGGAACATACCTATCGCAGACGGTTATGAAGTGTTTCGGGTGGAACTTACCTATCGTAGACGGTCATTAAGTCCTGATGGAACTTACCTATCGTAGACGGTCATGTAGTGTTTCGTGTGGAACATACCTATCGTAGACGGCTATGAAGTGTTTCAGATGGAACTTACCTATCGTAGACGGTCCTGAAGTGTTTCAGATGGAACATACCTATCGTAGACGGTTATGAGGTGTTTCGGGTGGAACTTACCTATCGTAGACGGTCATGAAGTGTTTCAGATGAAACTTACCTATCGTAGACGGTCATGAAGTCCTGATGGAACTTACCTATCGTAGACGGTCATGAAGTGTTTCAGATTGAACATACCTATCGTAGACGGTCATGAAGTGTTTCAGATGGAACATACCTATCGTAGACGGTTATGAAGTGTTTCGGGTGGAACTTACCTATCGTACACTGTAGACGGTCATGAAGTGTTTCAGATGGAACATACCTATCGTAGACGGTCATGAAGTGTTTCAGATGGAACTTACCTATCGTAGACGGTCATGAAGTGTTTCAGATGGAACTTACCTATCGTAGACGGTCATGAAGTGTTTCAGATGGAACTTACCTATCGTAGACGGTCATGAAGTGTTTCAGATGGAACTTACCTATCGTAGACGGTCATGAAGTGTCCTCCTCCTATTCCACAGCTTTGCAGGCTGTGTACGCATGCGCACAACATGGCAGCTATAGCCGTATCTACTGCAGTCCCACCACTTGCCATGATATCACTGTTAATGTGTTGAAAAAAAAATCAGAATTATAATTTCTTTATTAATTCTTCTGCATGTACAATTGACATGCTTAAAGACCTAAATTGACATGTATTATAAGGAATAATGCGAGTGACGTCACTAATATATCTTTAGTTGTCCCTGGGAATGTCAAAACGTATCATCCGTGCTAACACACAGGAATAGATATGCTAACTGGACGTGTGGGTCTGTAATGTAACTTTGCAAATATCGCATGAACGTCACAATTCAAATAGTAATTTATGTCATATTGTGACGTCATATTGACGTAAAGATGAACTTTAGGGATTTACCTACTAAAGTTACATTCCCGTAGCGGCATAATGGACACCTTTCCTTGTTTTAAGAGTTCCTTCCTTTCTATTTGCTATTGCACCACATTTATATTTAGTGTGGGATTTTGCTTCCTCGCTCAAATTAAAATTATATGATGACGTTGTCGAAACATGACGGATGTACTCGAGTGTCAATTTCAAGTGTCATCTAACTTTAATGTCATAACCTGGACACGGAAACACTACAACCGGTCGGGTCACGTTATCTACTGAGCACAAGATAAAGCTCCAAATGTTGTTCTCTTCACTCATGTCCCTACCTAGAGGGAAAACAGTACAACCGCAAGCTGGTATTCCAAAGATGGGGGTGATTGGGTCCAGGTCGAGTGGCGGGATAAGATTTTCCAGTAACACATTAGTCGCCTCACACGATCAATACAGTGGAATGTAGTAACCCAATTCTTTTCCAATAACAACAAAACCAACTTTTTATTATCAAAATAATCTTGTTAGTTTAAAACAAGCAATGTTTCACGGTCGCGTTGTTTTGTTGAATTTTGCTAGATCAAATTATGGCCTATTGCACTCGAAACATATTCACTATTCTTGAACAATATAGTTTAAATCTGTATATGTTTTTCGTGAAGAACAGGTATAACAACATCAGATCACATAGATTTGCGGTAAATACTTACGTGCCGATAGTGGAACATTGTGCTGCATCGGCCGCGACCGCGCCATATCTGTACGTGCCGTCTATCGACAAGGTGGGCGTGTCCGTGGTTGTGGTGGGCGGGGCTTGAGTTGGCACACGTGTCGGTTGGGGAGTGGCCCGTGCCGGGGACGCTGTAGGTGCACATTCCCTATTAATGTCCTGGATCATGTTGTAGACCCCGATCCCAAGTCCTATTCCCAAGCAGGCTATAGCCACAATGATGACCAATGTGGACACAATCAGGGCTCGACCGGACGACATACTGCAGAGACACAAAGACAAACATTACATTATTGAAATTATGAATTAATGAGGATGGAATCCGTACCAACATCAATATCATAAAATCTTACCCTAATTACTGCATTGAAAAAAAATCCAAAATGATTATTGCTGATGGAAGCAAACCGATTCTGAGCTCGAAAACGTTCAGAAACGTCCACTTATCCAGTATATCTAACCATTTCTTATTTGTAACCAACGAATTAGGCTAAGCTCAAAATCGAGATACATTATCAATAGCATTCAACTTATGATTACATGCTTAAATAGTATTAGTCTGAACCTTTTTTTTATTTTTATTTTTTTATTAAAGTGACTTTCAAGCTTGGCCAATGCCATTTATTTGATCAAATTTCACAGTGTACCATAACATTAAGTTACTTTCTTCAATCTGTGTTTTTATGCATTTGACCCCTGTCAACAGGTCAAGGTCAGTTATTGGAAAACCTTGATAATCCTTTACACCAACAAGGTGCAGGCCAAATGTCATTACTCTAGACAAAACGAATCTTTAAAAAAAAAATCGTGGGATTAATATATAAAATCTTTACTTTTGCGACATTGCAGTAAGTCAAGATCTGTTAGTTGGGGAGAGCAAATAGCCTTTTATTCCAATCTAGAGCGTATGGATCTTTAGAACAAGTCACTTGAAGAATTAAGCAAATTTATCCATGTAAAATGGGTCACGGTAATTCATTTGAACAAAGTTATGACTTCATCCGAACAGACTACTAGCAAAATATCTTTAGACTAGGCGTCCAGGGTATTCAGATGATGCTGTTTAACGATGAAGCACACGTGACAATTTGACATTAAAGTAGGTCAAGGCCATTGATTGAAACAACGCCCCACCGTGCTCCTGGCCAAATCTCACTACACCAGGCCTCATGATTTCAAAAGATTTAGGAAAAAACAACAACATATTTTAAAGAAAATTGTTGACGACGGACGTCACGCCGTCACATAGGATCACAGGCACTTCATGGCCATTGACACGAGAGAAAATACACTCTTAAGCCCTGGAATTCCTACATTGAGACATCATGTCATACATATTAAATAGTGATCGCTTTCATAATGTTCCTTGACATCCCCCCACTCCAAATAAACCCCTGATACTTAACATACAAAAACGTTATGTTTTATATACAGAAGTTAATGCCACAAGTAGTGAGTTTAAATGAGATCATTGTTTAAAGTGTTTAATTTAGCAGATTTCGTTTTACTTATTTACTAATGTGCCTATACGATTTGGTGAATGACACTATTCAGCTACCGTAGAAATCACACAAACATAAAAAAGTAATATGAAGCGGCCTGCATACGAAGCAGATACAATGGTATATTTGACTTGGTTTCCCCTTACACATTTCGCTATCTCGGCGTGATGAACCATTTTGCTAAAAAAATATAAAAAGCATTAAAAGCTTGCCTGTAAACTGAAAACATTTGAAATAGTTTTTTTTTTTTTTTTAGAAATATATGAAACGTTGCAAGTGTCTTTGAGTTCTTTACCATCAGACTATCATATTTAATATCTATCAAGTAATTTCAGTTTTGAAATAACAGTATCGGTATGCTCACACTTAGCTGATCGCCAGTAAAAATGTGTCCCAGTTATAGTTCACCTCAAGTTTGAAAAATGTAAGTAAACACCCTCCCTTTCAAAATAGAGTTCGTTTAAAAATATGAGTGCCTGAAACCAATGCTAATGTTACTGCTCATTCAAACGAATCTTCATACACTGTGCTATATTTAATGGAAAAATCGGTTACGTTTAAATGATTGACATTATCAAAGTAAGTTTGCACCTTTTTAACAAAATTTCAGTCAATCTACAACCAGTGTCCCGGTAATACATTTCTGAGATCCGCCTAATTATGCGAATAAAATCTCTCATTATATTTGCTATTTGAACC